GTAAAGGCTGCACCATTCAGGAGGGAATCATTGCAGGAAGTTCAAACAACTTGTCATGACCCACAGCGACAGTGGAAGGTAGTTCTGGGCAATTTCGGCTCGATGTAGACAGCTCTTTGCACGATGAGGGCAAATTAAATCTCGTCCAAAACCCCCTTACATGCCATTCCTGCTGTGATCTCGTACAGCCCCCACTCCCTCTACTTTTAGAAAAGTTCGAAGTAGGCCGATTTTCTCGCTTTCTTCGCCACCGTCGTGTTCCTCTACATCATCACCATCGCGTTCCAACGTAAAAAGGGTACCTCAGAATTATCGTGAACTGTGCCTTTGAAGCAAATATGTGCAAGGGCCATACAAACAGTATTAGTGCTTGTCACGCAGATAGACCGTAGATGAGTGTCTCCTGCTAATTTATGAAAACAAAAACGTTGTTATGAGGTGCCTTCATAGTTCAGCGCCTCCCAGCTGACGCTGATCAGCGACAAGCCGCTAGTGACCGCTCGCCTCTCGCGAGCCGCGTCTATTTCCATACTACAGCTATTATTTCAAAGCCTTTCCTAGTATCAGAAAAAAAGCAACCATCGGAAATGAACACAGAAAAAACGAATTAGAACATGAAGCAGCATTATTTACCGACTTGTATTATATGGATCGACGGCGGCCGGCTCATCAGGTTTCCAAAGCTATGGAAGCGGCTACTTCCCAGCCTCAGAATTTGCATTGTATGACAGGTAAATCATCCTTCATCGGAAGCGAGTCGACACTGGAAACTTGTAGCAAGGGTCTGACGCCAAGTTTATGTCACGAGCTTTGAAGGCTACCTGCGCTCATGTATGATCTATTCACCTAGGTTTGGAGGAAAGGAAAAAAATGTTGCTCGCTATCTTCACAGTGATATGATGAACGGTGCGCATGTGTATTGTCTAGAGGGCACCTTACTTCTCAGTGAATTCATCGTAAAATAAAATAGCAAAGGTAGAACTGCCAGTGACAACACTTTTGATTCTTCTACATTAGCTGGTTTTGTCGCACCACTAATCCCGTCACATATAAAATGCTTCGGAAAAGTTCTTGGGCATGCCCACGACGAGGAGGGAATTAGATGTGCGAGTGTTAAGGAGCAGTTAATTAGTGTAGGTCATAGGTCACATCGTCAAATCCATAACGCGGGCGGGAAATCGCCATATGTACGCAGGTCGTACTCATTCGAAAGGATCATTTCGAATCTTCGGCGACCGGACGTGGGCAACGACTCACCACCCCACCTCACCTGCTCCTCATCCAAATTTCGCCTGTACTATTAGTGCTCTGCTGATAAATCCTTCTACTCTCGGCATCTGCTCCGATTAGCCTAATAAGCCCAACTTACCCATTGTTATCATTGGTTGGTTGCGGGATTGTTTTTTTTGCGGTTTTAATACACCCTAATTTCGGTCTATACCTGTTACATCTAAGTATCGAGGGACTGATGCAAGGCTGTGATCCTCCTTCACTGGGTAATTTCCGAGTTCTGGGCTATAAAAGTGCAAATTTGCGTGCGCTTCTGAATATAGAGCTCACCTAGCCACCCAGTGCAAGCCTCCCCAATGAAACCAGACTTTTTCCTGATTGAAATTTCAACCGCTTAAACTGCATTATCATTTCATTATATTTGCACCCAGGACACACACCACCGGACGCGCCTTACACTGGACAGCTTCGAGGTTTCGTGATACTGCCCGTTTACTCTGGGCACCTAAGAGTAACCTCTGCGACACCTAGTTAAGGAGAAAAAGGGCGCTTCCTGTCGCCATCAAACGTAATCCATCGTGATCAGCTTTCTTTCAATCACATTAGTGTTGACGATTATGAATATGAACGGCTGGCAGGAATTCAATTCGCACGGAAAAGTTCTAAGGAGTTCAATAAAAGTACAAAGCACGCATGAAAGAGGGATACGATATGTACATAAACCACCCAAAATAGGTGGCAGCGTGTTTCTAAAACTTCCCAGAGAAAAAGCCAACAAAAAATACCCGAACCTCATCGAATCTTGGGGAGGATTTAATCGAGTAAGCGCTCATAGCAATCCCTGTAGAAATTCAAAGCACGCCAAGCTCCACAACAGCAAGAAGAGTGAGAAAGCGTCAGGCCAAATGTGTTCATTGTTGCAAACTGTGGTGATGACCGAATCCGCCTGGGATCTTTTTCCGGTGTCCGGGAAAATACGGCAGGAGAGACGACGGATATGAATACCTGTGTTCGATGTGTGCAGATGTAGCGATGTAGCGCCAACACCATCGGAGGCGATCGAAAATCTTCGTTTCGATACAATTTTCGCTCTTGTCAGGCCAATCTCCATATACGAACATGAACAAAATGAAGAAATTTGGCGTTCCGTTATGTTGGACTGGGAACAAGTTTGCATCAGCATAGCAGGTGATCAAACAACTTACCTCTTCCGAGAAACAATGCGACCATGCCTTCCGTACCCTAATCCTCCCATGACGCATCTCTTCTTTGTCTCGCACCCTAGGTTGAACCTATCCATAGAGGAACTCAACCAGGTAGCCAATGAGACTTTAAGGTTTGCCAAAGGGAACGATTGGTACGAAATTGAGCAGAGTTGAGACCTACGTGCAGAACAGAGCTGATATGAATAATAGCATTGACCACACTAAGGCCGCAGCAGTGCTCACGAAGCAAGGTTTGATCAGTCTGATTCCAGCAACTAAGTCCCCACAAAAGCCTTGACACGGCTCGGAAGATCACTCTAGAGAGTCCATCACGCAAACATACTCAGGAGTAGTGATCACAGAATACTTTGCAGCTCTCCGATTTACGTGAAGGGAATAGTAGAGTTGCCATCGCTAGGAGCGGCGCTAAGGAGCCGTCCACTCGAGTGCGCAATTTCCCTAAACAAAAGTAAGAAAGGCATTTGTTCAAGGTCGCACCGCTGCTAATCCGGAACTCAGCCGTTCGATACTCGGGGCATGCAAAGAGGGGTCTAGTAATGGTAACACCGCAAGTGTACACAACCCGGTACTAAACCTACTATACCACCAATGGACGTTCCCGTCCACACCGTCCAGCCGCGGCTACCACCCGCGTGGACACAGACCTCGTGGCGGGTATTCCCAAAAACCTTGAAAGCAGTCGCATTAGATACCTACAACGTCATAGTAGTTGTAGCAATAGTAATTGATGTAGTTCTATCAGTAGTTTTGTGTGGATTAAAGATGTTATCTGTTATAACCGCAGTTCTGTTGTACCCATGTTGTTCGTTAAAGTTGTAACACATCATAATTTTTCTACATACCCAGAAACATTGTTGTATGATGTTGATATCGCATGAATCACAAGACCTCTCTCATGTTACCAAAGCAGCAGGAACGCCGCTTCCGCTCGAGATAGTCTGTTGAGGAGCAGTTAGTTAGTGTAGGTCGTAGGTCACATTGTCATATCAATCACGCGGATTCTACTGCACACCCACACTTTGGCGGGAAATCGTATAGTTTCGGCCTGGCTCCGGTTGTTGCGAAGAATTCTGAGGTGTGGAAAAAGATGACCGATATCTGGAAACTGGAAAAAAGAGCGGGATCTGAACGGTTTTTCCGAACGGCGATTCGAAAATAGAGGAAGGAAAAATATTCTGTGAGCTGGTAGCACCAGAATCGTGTTTATCATTTTACGGTACCGACTGCACAGTGGGATGTGCAAAAATAGTGTACCAGACGATTAAAAGAAGGACAACCAATTCGTTNCGCCACAACCCAAAAAAATGGAGCCCCAGCTGCTGAGGACGGCAGCTTCGGAGAGGGGAGGCATGTGGGCCGAATCCCCCAGCTGCTGAGGACAGCAGCTTCGGAGAGGGGAGGCTTGTGGGCCGAATCAAGATCATTGCAGCGACTTACGAAGCGCCGGGGTGAATTAGAAAGGTACTTAAGAACGACGACGGACCGTTTCTTTCTAATTTTATTTGTCTCGGTAAGTCCGATTTGGCTCGCGTAATTGTTCTGTTTATTGTGCACATAAATTGTTGCTCGAAAACTGTGTGCGCGGTGGTCTAACACCGCTTTGAACGGTCGAATGTCAGAAAGGTTGGCCAAATGTGGCCGGTGACCGCCCCGCGATCACGGTGGCCGGTCCTATTCTGACCACCTACCGTGCCCTTGGCAAGGATGGCGCGGGAACAACCGTATAAAAGGGCAAGAAAAACACAAGTAGGGTTTTCTGCTTCGGATTCTACCGTCGTCGTCGTGACGCCACCGCCGTTCGTCGTCAGCTCCACTACACTCGCCATCCAGCTCCACTACCTCATCAGTTATTCGATCTATTCTTATCGTATTATCCTCATTAATTGTTGTTACTACTTTCATAAAGTTGTTAGTTTGTTCTACTGTAACCACAAGAAAAAAATGGGGTACACACATTCATACCACAATTTTGACTCGATATCTTTCCTTCGAACTGACTGCTCGGTACATGGGGGCCAAACCGTTCGAGAGTATCGACTAGACAGTGTAAGGCAAACAGCGCACGCAGAAAGTGTGAGATCAGGGTGGCAGGTAACGAGACTACTCTGGGTTTTAAGGGTTGGTGAGGCAGTTCGAGAAGAGTATATATAGTATAAAAGAGCCACCATTGGAGCTATTAAGATCAAGGGCAAGATTCGAGTGTGGCCCACCGGTTACAGAAAGGGCGCAAAGTAAGGCGTCCTAGTGTAACGGAAGGTTCAAGGTTCACCAAGTATATCGACTGAGACCAAAGGCCGGGGTCGAGGGGAGCACACGGTTAAGGACGAAAAGTAAGTAGTCCTAGAGTGGTGAGGAATTAACGGGGAGTATCGGTGATCGAGTGGGATCAGAAGCGAGTTTCAGCAAAAAGTGCAGATTACACAAAGGGGCGCAGAGTAAGCCGTCTTAAGGTAGTAGAAGTGAGTAAGAGATAAGTGTCGAGGCGTCAGTTTTCTACGTGGATATCGTTGACGTATCGATTGGTCTAAGCTTAAGTGTTCAGAAATGGTGTCGGAAAACAACACGAACCACGCCGCGGACGCCGAAGTCAACTCGATGCAGTTTAGACTCGAACAAGAGTTCGCAGTGGAGAGTATAAGTGAGATGTTAGAAAAAGTAATAGAGGAAATAAGACAGGGACCAGTAAGAATCGAGAAAGATTGGACGGAGGCCCGAATCGCGGGGAAGTACCGGACTCATCTGATGAGAGTACGGGACATACAAGCAGAGCAAGCGTGTAACATGTTGGAAGATGTAAAAACAAGGGCGAGTGTATAAGCTGTTTGGTAGTGAGCTATTTAGAGAGCATCAAGAGAAAGGGATAGAAAGCATGGGTGATTGGAATGAATACGCAAAGATGACAGAAGGAGAAGGGGAACTTCCTGCAGAAATTGTGATATGTTCCAGACTGATGTTTCGCATATCCCTGGTGTGCTTAGCAAGCTGCCTAGAAGTGAACAAAGACGACGGCTTGAGCCCAGAAACGAGGAAGAATAAATGGAGACTGATGACAGTGGTGAGTCAAGGGTACGATGAATAGGATGGGTCACACATCATTGAGGAGTGAAAGTATTCAGGGCTTATCGCTCATGGCGCAGACTGGAGCGCCCTGCGGGCAAGTTTGGAGGCAACGTTCGGTATTAACGGAAGAAGCAAGCGGAACTTCAGGCCAAGAGCTTTTAAATGTTATGGCGATGATTCAAGCCAATGCTTGTGTGCCCCGGGTATTCTAAGGGAATAGTATGAGAATTTTGAGGAATTCATTCGACGATTCCCTAGGAAATATAGAACTGTGATTTTTGAAGACAAGACATTACTAGACATTATGGTTGACGATCATCTGGAAGGTAGGGTCAAGACGGTGTTCCCGTAATTACCTAGTAGCCTGAGAGAACAGGGCTTTGATGCAAGTTAGAGAGTTGTGAAAGTTATTGGCAAATGATTCAACGACGGGCCGGAGGGCACTGACTGAGTTGAGAAGGCTTGAGCGAAGGTGGGGTCAATCCGTCGCGGACGTTTGTGTGGTTCTTGAGAAACTTAGGACACACTCTGTTTGTAGCAAAAAGGCAGGTCTCTCGAGTACGCACAAATACTGCTGGACAATTTAACGGATTGACCGGAACATGTTTACCTACTGAGCACGTTGCACCGGATAGACCCCACAGACGCGTATGATGCAGTCAAAGAACTTGCTTTAACTATTGAACAGCCAAGGTATATGATGGCCCCGACTGGGAGTACTCGTAAAGACGAATGGAAAACACGGTCGGCGGCATACCAGCAGGAATGATGGAAGCGACAGTCTGAAGCAAGGGGTCTAGAGATACTGGAAGTGGTTTCAGAGAAGGCAAGACCGACGGGATGCACGACATCTCATACATAGCGAAGAGTAAAGGAACAGCGACATGGATGGTGGGCGTGTAAGAGAGCATGAAAGATATAGCAATGGACATGGTGAGCGAAGGAGGTGTTATAACTGTCAAAAGATTGGACATATAGGTCGGGATTGCCCACTGAAGAGAGCCCAGGTCAATCAAATTGCAGAGGACGCTTCGATGCAGACCACGTTGCCACAGAAATATAAGGGAGGAAAGGGCGTCGGATACCATCGAATATTAGGGGGCACGAAGCCTAGGGGTGAAGTGTGGTTCATGAAGCAAGGAAGAGACGCCATTAGTGGGGATGTCGATTATAGTTGAAGCTAAGGTATTGGATTCAAGAGTGCCAGCTATAGTAGATACGGGCTCAACGATCAGCATCATCCCAGTAGGCATATTGGCGAAGGCGCAAAAGGCGAGCTACGACGTGGATAGCTTGGAGGTGCTGTCCGACGACTCAATAATTCCAGTGTTTGACGCTTCACGGAACCACATAGCCTTTGTGGGTGCTAACAAAATAGCGGTAGTGCTGGAGGAACGCAACAAGGTGGAGGTAGCCTTCCATATTGCAGATGACAACGAGGCTGATATACTCCTTGGCACAAATACGTTGGGAAAGCTGGGCGTTCAGGTAGTATTGCCACCTCAAGAACAAACGCTGCATGCAGAGGCTCAAGAAGAAGTCGTGGTTGCTAGGCGAATGTACATACCCCCATATGGTAAAGTTGGTTTCAGTATGTCACGAGGGAAGTAGTAATGGCTAACCAGAGACGGAATTGCTCTTGGAGTATTCAAGATAACAAACCAAGAAGTGAAGGTGCCCATGATAAACAACAGTGAGGGACCCATGATTCTCAGAGAGTGAGAAGAAATCGGTCTTTGGGAACCGAGAAATGGCGGGAAAAAATAGAAGATCTCAGAGGGCAGTGGAACGCATGAGCTTACAGCAGAGGAAAGGAGGAAAGTGTTGCATGAGCAAGCGAGGCAGAGCACGGGAGTAGATAGAGTTAGTGAGGAAGTTAGGAATGTTTTGGACGAAGAACCTCTACAAAAAGTCATTCGATCAGCCTACAACAAGTGCATGGAGAGAACCGAGTTCTATTCCTTCAGTGACCGCCTGCGTCACTGAAGGAATGAAACGCTACGGGAAAATCGAGGATTATGGATTTGAGAAGACTCGCAATGCCGCATTGAAAAAAGTGGAAAAGAAATCGAAGGGGAGGAAAGGGCAAAAAGACCCACCAAGAAGGGATCTCTTGCTTTCGCAGCACCCACATCTGCAGCACTCTTAGAAAAAGATGATCCGAAGCGGGGAGTCTCGACACAGGTAGCCCCGACTTTTTTGCAGCTTAGGGAGATTCCCAATGAACGGTCGGCACACGCCGTATTTTACGGAACCGACTGAAAAAGAAGGACAACCAATTCGGTCCGCCAGAACTTAAAAGGATGGAGCCTCAGCTGCTAAGGATAGCAGCTTCGGGGACTGGAGGCATGTGGGCCGAATCAAGATCATTGCAGCGACTTATGAAGCACCGGAGTGATCTAGGCGGGAATTAGAAAGGTACTTGAGGACGGCAACGGCCTTGTCGAGGATAGATCTTCCCCGCCCCAACTCCTTCATACCCCCTCTACTGGACTGTTTCTTTCTTATTTTATTTGTCTCGATGATTCCGATTTGGCTCGCGTAATTAGTCTGTTTATTGTGTAAATAAATAGTTGTTCGGGTACTGTGTGCGCGGTGTCTAACACCGTTTTGAGCGGTCGATATCTCTCCTTCGAACTCACTATTCGGTACAGGCCGTACTCATCCTTAGGGATCGTTCCGGATCTTCGGCGACCGGACGCAGAAGATGACACACCTTTCTACCACTCCTCATCCAGATTTCGCCTGTACTATTATTCATCTGGTGATAAGTCCTTTTACTCTCGCCATTTGCCCCGCAACCAGGACACACCACTGGGCGCGCCTGATTCTGGACGGCTTTGGGGGTTCGTGATAATTTCCACCTGTTGTGGGCACCGTGGAGTAGCCTCGTTGACTTCCAGTTAAGCAGAAAGGGCGCTTACCACCGCCACACGTGCCTTTGCGACTGTTTCACCAAAAGCAGACATTCGAGTTAGGGCGCAGGACGGACTGCTGTAAATTTTCGCCATTTTGGTTCTTCTTCTTTTTCGCTGCCTTCACACCCCTTCGGAAAATCGGGGGAGCAGCGAGACAAGTGGCTTGCTCCATCCTTGCTCTATGTTCGATATGTAAAGAAAGCGTGGAATCTGTATATAAAGTATCAAAAAGATTACGAAGTATCAGCGGGCAAAGCGGTTTATATAAGAACATCTATTATTCAAAGATTGATACTCACATTGAACAGACGGATGCGTAGTGAACCCTAATGGTGGGATCGTCTAGAATCGCGATATTAAGTTTCGTTAACGTAGAAGGGCACCTCAGCTCCCTAGGAAGTAGGGCCAACACTCAGCCTATTCGTGACACCATAATCTTCGTATTGTATCTTGTTTGACGGTACTGCATTCTATTATAGTTCCCACGCTTTTTGAAGATCCTGTTGCTTCATTTGATCTGTGCCTGCCACAAGGATAAAGTTGTTGTTTTTTGCATTGCTCGAGTTCAGTCAAGGTAATTCGAACATTACCGCAAACCCTACACCTACACAATCAGATCTTTTATAGCGCATGTAATGTAACGTGCTGATAATCATAAGTATTCTGAATGAATACATGAGTGTTTGAGTAATTTCCTTTCTCCTCCCCAGCCTTAATGACACAACTTACCTCGCCCACAACCCATTAGAATACAGGCTAAGTATAATCCATCGTTATTTATTTTTCCATTCAAAGAGAAATACGAGTGAGTAGAAGCCGAAGCAGTAAAAAAAGGAAGATTACTGAACCTCTATAACTTCAATCACAGGGAGGTGTTGCAAAGCGATGAGGTGAGTTCTGTCATGCCCGCTCAAAACTGCCACTCATCAGACTTTACTACTTCGTAACTTTTGTTACCCTCAGTGTCACCCTACCCCCCCCCCCCTTCCCTACCATCATCGTCATCTCTCATGATGTACGCGTTTACAACTCCAGTGATGTTGATAATAAAATTAGTGGTGCTCACTGTCACTCATAAGTAGGAATCTCACCCGGTCCATTTACCTGAGTAAACGTTGTTGATAAAAGGGCATGAGTGGTTTGGATTCCTTACTTTTTTTGACTTACTCACTATCTCTTTATCAGTTACTATAAGTTTTTATCACCCATCACCGATGTACCGACCTCACAAAACCGGAACGAATTTGCTGAAACTTGCTTTCCAACATTCCTTGTCAACCCTGTGCGTTGATATCAATTCCTGTCCCTAAGAATTACTGTTCCAAGTCCATAACCTCGCCAATGCAAACATATATCAACAAAATGAGCAATCTAAGAAGATCTACTTCAAAACCTTCCTTTTACCTCCAGTCGCCCGCTATTGCTGTTTATCACAAACACTTTGGGGCCCTTTATCCCGCTCTAAAAGTTATTAAATAGCTATGATGAGATCCCTTGAGAGCATGGATGTTAGAAGTTGTAAAATTACCACCGAGCCCCACTACCAACTCCTCGAGAAGCGAAACTCGGAGATAACCATTTAAGGAACCTTCTGGACTATTCCAAAGTGATCCAATGTAAATATAACGTCACTAAATGCTACAACAGTACTGATCTTTCGCTAGATGAAAACATCGGAGTGTTCACAGGTCACTTCGTTCACAATCCCAACGAAAACCTGAGTACGCGAAACTTCGTGACGAAAACATCACCCGCTCAAGTACAGCGTCGCGGCGACGACGGCGCCGCGCTCACCCTCCGCCGCGAAGACCGTCGCGCGATGTCGTAGTGCAGGCTGCGATTTCGCGTGCGACGGGTACGCAAGAAATCGCGACGCAGCATACGGCAGAAATAAACTTTCATTGTTTAAATTTGTATTTATCAGTGTTTATTTAGCATTTTCATTTGAGAGTTTGCATCCTCGTAGAGTAGGTACTCGAAATTTCGTTGTTGTCCAGAATTTTGTCGCAAAATACTCGTTGATGTAGCTTCTGTGTTTTAGATCCATTTCCGGCATTGCTTTTTGTTTTTGAATCCAATTTGTTGTTTATTCGTACAAGTTTTGTACTCTGCATGGCGTAGTGCTGGAGAGGTGCCTTAATCAGATGGATCCTCATAACCCTCAAGTAGGTTTTTCCATCGATTTAAAATTTAAATACGGTTTCATCATAGTTTTCGTTCAAATTGACTGCTTGGTTTTTTTGGATTAGTTTGTTGTAATGGCTTTTGTTTGTTGGCGTTCTAGTAAAAAAACAACGTTCAGGGCGCTGGTAACCTTAACATGGGCATCCAGGGTCAACCAGTGACGGCACAAGGGTTAGGCCAAACTCAATACAATCAGCAGGTGTGTTTGTTTGATTTGCAGATCTTTGAACTGTATTTTATGGAACTCTTTAATTTTTGCATCAACTATAGAGTGAAATTGCAGATGTTGCTCGCTCAACAGCAGTATATGAACAGTTTTAACTCCTTCTATGGCAACAATCAGGTACTGTTTGGCGTTTTTGTCCCGCTCCCTTTTCGTTAAACCATTGCAACACTGCATTCCACATGGTGACTACAGTTGTATATTTTGTTTCATCTATCTGTATCTCCACTTTTTAACGATCTTTCTTCTCAAAACAGAATCAAGTTCATTTGAAATTATGTACGGCGTGGTCCCAGGATCTTCTAATTTTGCAATTTTACAGATAAAACAATAACCATAAACAGCACACTTATATTTTTGCCTCTTGTTTTTGGAGTATATCTACCTTCCGCACTAATTTGGAGTTTTTGACACCATACCGGCGTTTTTTTTTTGAAAAAATGTGGCCTGTAATGAATTCTTCATCTGTAAAGAATCAGTGAGTGAGGAATTCAAGTTCTGCCTGCTATCGTCGTTAGCCACATCCTATCCCTTGTGAATTCAGGTCAAATTAAACAATCCCCTATTCAAAATTCAAAAAAATGGTCGTCCTGGACCATGTATTCCACAATGGGCTGCAGTCCGTTTTTCCCGCCAAACGTGGTTGTCGTCTTTTATTAACAGTTTGTCTATAGATCTCGTCTCAGATGTTGTCCATGGATCCCTTCCAACAACAACAGCAGTTGTTCATGATGCAGTCGCAGCAAATGCAACCAGTTTTTCAGCAACAGCAACAACAACAGCAGGTTTGTTGTATTACTTTTTTCAACAGCTATCTTTTAGAGGTGATGTTTCTTAGGCCTGAACATAGAAGAAGTCACTAAGCTATCGGTCTTTCTATCCACTTTACCGCAATTAATTTTATAGGTTTTGCAACAGCAGCTCCTTAACCAACAGCATACTCAGCAAAGGTTTTCTCAGCAGCAGCAGGTCCAACAACAACAAGCTCTCGTTAGTTATATTTTTCATTGCAACTCTGATTGCCTGAACTTTTAAAATCTTGGCATCCACCAGTATTCTGTCTTGCCTGTCGTCTTCATCCAACCTCGTTTAGCACAACCATCAGCAGCGTCTCTTGGAAGAGCAGCAACGCCAAATTGAGCTTGCTCGTCAACAACAACAACGGCAACAGCAGGAGGAGCTGCTGCGGCAGCAACGAATCAAGGTATTTAGTATTCAATTCAGCTATAGTCGTAAATTCTTTTTTATTCTATTTACATTTCAACCGTTCTTTCAAATTTTCTTTCTGAACAGTTGTCGTAGTCATCATATTCATTTTATGTGTTCTATAGCCACTCTATATTACTAAATTTGTTGGCTGTGATTCGTTCCTGAGAGCATTGAAAACATTTTGCAGGAAGCCGAAGAGCAGCAGCGTCAGCGTGAATTGCAGGCTCAGCGAGAAAAGGAGCAACAGGAGCTTTTGAAGAAGCAGGTCCGTATTCGATAGAGGCTGTTCTCTATTATAGACTACCGATTTATGACTACACCATCTGCAACAGCTTCTGGAAACATTAATTTATCTGTACACAGGAGGAAGAAAGGCGACTTGCAGAAGAAAAGCGACGCCAGGAGGAAGCGGAACGTCGGAAAATAGAAGAGCTGAGAAGGGTTCGGGAGGAGCAACTGAGAAAGCAAAGGGAGGCTCAGAAGGTGTCTTTTGCACCGTATAAGTATTTTATTCAAGATCTTGGGTGTTTATGAGAATTGAACCTTTTTCTTTTTATCGAGGTTTGTTCTCAGTCACAGCTCATAGTAATTCTGATGGTATTTTAAACGAAAGTGATATTCAATTGTTTAGGCTCTGAACGAGATGAGAGATCGTGTAGAGCAAGTTCAAGCAGGGCAAGCGCTGACTCTCGTAGCAACACATTTTAATACATCATGTCGGACTTTGCTTTTATTTTCTTCCCTTCTTGTAGCTTACAATGTAATTATAAGCTTTTTAGATACGAAATTAGTGCCGTTCCCAAATGAAAATATGATCAATTCAAAACTGCCTACTGTCTGTGATGCGACTACTATGAAGTCTCTTTTGGAAACATCTGATCCTATCTTAGTGCAAATGATTTCGCAGGCTTTATCCAGTGTCGACGTCAGTGACACGTAAGTATTTCAAAGTTTTGCAAAACATCTTTTTTTATTTTTGTCTTTTGTTTGAGTTCATTTTTGATCTTAGAGGTAGCCATTCATTAGTTGCTTGTATTCATAGCTGTTTTCGCTCACAATCTTATTTTACGAGATCACCTACCAATACCATTCTACTGTACATCATCGCTCCATTCTTTTTATTACAATTCCTTCTTAACATCTAACTAATCACCTAATATCTCACTGTAATCATAATTTGTCGCTTCTTCGTCTTACCAGTTAACACTTTCCATCATGAGTGAATTATTGAAATTGGAATGATTCCACTCAAAGTGGGCATTGCTAAGATGCAGGCGAAACCTCCGATTAGTCATTTTCTAGAATCCTTTTTCTCGCTTCCTATGAACGAGGAAATTTTGCCAATACATAGAGATCTTTCAGCTCTTTTTCTTTCAGTCGTGATTCAATTCAACAAATCTTGCTCTTGCAAAAATAGGGCATTTTCTCCATGGAATTGCTTTCGCGACAGTATGACTGTCAGACATCTACAGAGGAAGTTCCAACGACTCGGATTTAGGATAAATTGGCGAATGTAGTTGGGGTGGGGGTGGGGTACATAGGAATGTTAGTTTATGAAGGTATTGACACGGTGTTACGTCGAATTCCGTGTTACATTGGGGACATGATTTTTCTACTAAGCCTTAGGAGGTAAAGGGTACCGTTGTTAGCAAGTTTCAGCCTTTCGCTCCAGGTAGTCAGCTCATCCATCCCGATGCTCCTACCCTCCCAAGGCTTAAGTAAGAAAACTACATCCCCTGGCCAACATTGTACAGATCGCCGCTACCCAACCTCCTCTTCGTCTACATCGTTGGTAAAACACGGTTTAACACGTAGCACCGTGTTAAATTAGTGATATACTAACACTTTCACGTGTGCCCCCACTCACTACCCACCCATCCACCCATTCTGACCACATTTTCACCCACAAACTAATTCTTCAATGATAACGTGAATATTTTTAAGGATGACATTGGTATAGCAGCTCTTTAGTTTAGCGGTGCCGCTCAATGCTTTATTAAGTTCAATTCCGCAAGCATATCGGGAGGTATCTCTCTCTTATTTATAAAGCAGAAACTTGGTGTGTCCGTTTGTCGGTTTGTGTGTTTGTCGGTATGTCGGTATGTCGGTGTGTCCGTCCGCAAAAGTTTATGATTACGATAAGAGAGTGATATGGAAAAGCTAGCTCTATCCTACATTCCTCTACATTTCTACACTTAAGGGGGGGGGGGCATTTCTAACTGGTCATAAAATATTCTGTGAAAACAGTATGCACAGTCAATAAGATCGCAATGTCGTCTGATATCACCCACAAAATCTACTTACTTCCTTGACTTCTAGAGCCGTGCTTTCGTTGTCGTGCTTTACATTTGTTCTAAATCTTTGTTTTACTGTAATTGGTTTTCGTATTTTCCTCACTTGGTTTATAGCTAATATATAAGCTCAGAAATCTCTAATCTACTCCTCAAAACTTCATAGAATATCAGGGTCCTAGCTTTGCTAACTAAAGTAATCTAGAGTAGTAGGGTCTCATCTTTGTTGACCGTCGAAAGTAACCTCACAAGGCTTTGAAGCAAATATTATAACAGCAGAGCGACCAGAAAAAAATTCTTGTCAAATCATATGTACTGAAGCATATGAACTCAGAAAACCGTGGTCATATGTGTGAAGTACTTATAACTCATCATGTCTTTGAATGCTCTGAACAAACTTTCGGCTCTCGTTCAAGTAGTCGTTGGGGAAAGAGCCAGGGAAGTTCTTTTGGTACAGTCAAAGGATATTAAAACATACGTAAATCGCTATGAAACTTATTTATTCTCCTCGAATTGCACTGCATCGTCTTACAATCCTTTCTTTCTTTCCATGCTAGTCCAAGTCCTCTTCATTGAAGGCTTTGTAAGTCTTCAGTTTCTGCATGGTCTTAGCTTCATCGCTGTGGTCAGTCCACCAGAAGCACTTGCCCCCTTCGAAAGAAGTATTCTCTTTTGTGGATTTAAATCCCTCCTCCTTTACATAGTTCTCTTTAAACTCTCGCCTCTAAAACGCTGTCTTTTCAACTCATTCTCCCTAATTTACAATTTTTTTCACTTTTACTTTTTTGTCAGTGCTGTTTTTCCTGTGCAACCCCTCCTTCATTACCTGCATCTTTTTATACGCTCTCTCATTTTTTTTCTCTTTCTCAAGCCTCCTATCTCTTTCTCAATATGCGGTAGTAGAGGTATCACTTTTTCTGGGGACGTGCATCGGTTTTCAACCATCCTCACTTACTTAAGTCCGCACTGTTGTCAAAATCGAAGTCGAATTTGAAAACTGCAAGACGTACTTGCAGAATGAGACTGTGTGATAGTCCCCAGGTTTCTGCAGCTCTTCCCGCAAACTCTGGATTCCAACGGGCCGTCGTCCGATGAAGGAAATCTGTGATAATGCTACGATTCCTTCCAATTTTGCTCTGTTTTTCTGACATTTTTGGTACTTCTTTTGCTTCTTGTTTACTTCCCTACCCGGTCTTGCTACGTCATTATTTTTTTGACGATATATTCTTTTCCTCTGCATACCTGACTATATTAAGTTCTTCATTCCCTACTTCCTAAATTTCCTTAACTGCATTGTTTCGTGTTCTCATTTTTTCATTCTTAATTGTTGAATTCTTTCACTTATTTCGAAATATAATCACTTCCAAATCAACACATGTTTAAATAGCATATTTGAACATTCTTAACGCAGGCGGACGCGAATGGACACACACGATGGAATTCCGGAGTCCAATGATCTTCCGCTCGATTTGATGCCTCCCGTGATCAGAGCTGTCATGAGCGTTAACTGCAACGTACGTGTTTGGTGTCATTGTACTATTCATTTACCCATTAGATAAGGATAATTCAATTCCAGGCGTTAGATGTCGAACCTGAGCACAACATGGAAGCGCCTGAACATCTTCTTAATGACATGGAGCTCGATCCAACTGTTCGTTTCATTCCAGATTATTTATGTTTCGGCACAGTGTTGCATTTACTACCTCCTTTGATTTTCACATAACTGGACTAATTACAGCGTGCTCTGAACGATGCAGCAGCTCCAGCAGCTCCAGCATCGTGTGAAGCAACCCCTGCTGTGCAGAAGCCGACTGTAACGCCGGACAAACCTTCAACATCATCAGCGAATGAGGAGAATTCATTTATTGCTCCAGTTCTGGAAGGAAGGGATAACACTCAGCTTCGACGTCAAATGGCAAGTGTTGGAAAACAACCAAAAGCTAGTCAACAGCGTAAAAAGAGAGATCAGGTGTGTAGTTAGGAATCCCTACCGTTTCAAACATTATTCCTCTCATCTGAACGGATACATTTGCTTAAAGGTTGAAAGCCTTTACGATTCTTTAACTGATTACTTCGATCCCACTGACGGACGTCGACAACGGAAACGAACAAAAACCCTGGAAGAGGAACAGGCGGATCAGGTGAGACCACTGGTTATTCGATGTCTTATTTATTTATTTGAAGCATTCTTTCTTCAATAATCAGTCAATTTCAAATTGACTGGCTTTCTTAGCGTGACTTGGAACTGATAGCTGCAATGGAAGCTCAATCTGCATCCTCCAATTCTGCCGAAGTATCGGCTGCCGAACAAAGCGATGATCATAGGGTCGGGGACACAAGTGATGACGACCGCAAGTTTTATGAGAAGAAAGATCGACGCAGAAAGAAAAAAGAAGATATTCCTGAGAGACCTCCTACTCCAACTGATGGTAACAGAGCGCGAAGTCTTCTTTAAAATCTCCGTAATCTCTTAAATTCTTCTAGTCATCCAAAAGCGCGATCAAGAATGGACAGAGCGGCAACGGAAACGACAAGAAAAGTTAAGGCGGCGGAAGGGAAATGAAAGTGATCAGGAGTGCTGGAATAATGACGTGAGTCTAACGCACCGTTTCCAGTAGCCTTAATTAGCTGCTCGCTTTTTCATGTGCTGCTCTATTCAATTTCTTATCTAGTCTTACTAGTTTTATCACTTTCAATGTCATTAATTATTATTTGACCGATTATTCAATTTTGATGCTTGCAATGGAAGTTTGGACAAGTGGTATAACTATTGTCAGGCGAACAGTCTTTAGGTATAAATCAGTTGGTTTTTGTACAACTTTAACATTTTCAGCAGTTGGATCTACTCAAAGATTCACTTGTTTTCAAAGGGTTCAGATAATAAAAAAACTCCTCCTTTTTATTCGAACATTACTCTGAAGGTTATCCCTAGTGGTGTAGTCGACTTTTAATAGCGTATCTGACCCCGCACTAAGTCTTTTCTTCATATTATTTCTTACTGATCTAGTTCAAAACCCGATGTCACAAAAGTATGCACTCACGCACATATTATCTTTATGCTTCGAAAAAGTGGATCTCTGTAAAAAAATACTACTGTAGAAATAGAAATATAGAAATATAGAAATACTGACAAAAAAGGTGAATAATACACACCGGTGCACCTGTCCTGAGTTTGTTGTCATTTGAGTTTACTGCTCATCATGTCTGCAATGCAAAAAGCATAAGGGTACCCGAGTAACGATCATGCCATTTTCAAAATTTTATGGCCGTAATCATTCCTGATTTTGCAGGTAATGGCTGAGCATGATTCAAGAGCTCGTTTGAATGTAATCATCGACCAGATTTTTGATCAGGTGGAAGACATTGATATGATGAATATTGAGCAAAACGGAAAAGGTGAGAAAAACTCTTCGAAAATCTGTTTTCGATTCAATCACTTCTCAATTTCAGACGAGGATGGAGATGATGACGATGAAGGTGTTAGTCAGGAACTTCTGATAGACCGTTCAGTAATGGATGACTTACGTAACGAAGTGCAAAAGCTCCTTACATGGAAGAAATTAACTAGTGTAAGCATTTTAGGATATTGACTGATAGTTCTTCGGAAAACTTTATGGAAGCGTTTAGATATCATCTGATCGACTCATAAAACTGATCACCATCTTGGAGCGGAATATGCGAGATGTTGTCAGCTCTGATGGCACACGTCTTCTTGTCCCGATCATTGCTGAAGATGTAAGCGTTCGCCTGCTGCATATCTGCATATTCACAGTTTATATCTCGAGAATTACATCGTGATAATCTTCTAAATTTGACTCTTCCACAGGATGGTGAAGAGGATGACCAAGCTCTCCGTGAACTTCTGGACGATCGTTTAATCCGAGGCGCCGACGCTGCGTGTACAACATTGATGATCATGACCTGCCATAAAATGCCAAAACAGGTTCATTGTTTGTAGAAAACAAGTGGCTATCCCATGTCAGTATTTCGCTGTTGTTTAGGTATACATAGAAGATGCTATTGAACGTTCCATCAACCTCTGTAGACATTACTTGAAAAGTATTATCTACCCAGCTTCGGATCCTTTATATGGGCCGGGAAGGAAGCAGAGAGGTTTTTACTTGAATTAATTTTATGCTAACTTAAACTTTCCGTACGATTATGATACCTGGCACACGTGTCTAATTTTTCAAGTTTCTGAAAAAATGTAAGGGAAGTCGGTATTAATTCAAACAACATATTGGTATACTGCATTAGTGAAATCTCAAAGCCTTTTTTTTGCTTCCATTGTAGAAGACAGACAGTCAGGCGGTGTCTTCGCCATGAGCATAATCTATGGATCCTGAACTTGAACTCTTTTCCATCTGGACTGACCGGTCAGGTGTCCATGGTAAGGGACGACTCCGGTTGGGCTATCCTTACGAACGAAGTAAGCTTCCACTGTTATTACGGAAGGAGAAAGTTGTCTGTGGCTTTTCCTCTTTAACACCCATTACCAGCCCTTGCCAGTCGCTAGTAGTTCCCAGCAAGGAACTGGGATCCCGTCAAATTCCACACCCATCAAAGTGGCAAAATCTCACTTGTGGTACATAGAGCCCGAAGACCCATTCGTCTTTCCATTTTACGCCCTCTTACTAATCCCGACAAGTGTTATCGGTTCTTGGTCAATCATGTTTGAACCCGACATTTTCACATCGTTCATCAAAGTTCCAAGTTGCCACTGCTGACAGTGAAGACTACATCCCACTGGCTCTCGCTCTCTAAGTATTTCGAGCAGCACTAATCAGCCACCAAGTCATTTGTCATTAGTATTTCCACCCTCCATCCAGCATCTTTTTCATATTGGATCGCTCTACATTCACTGGAACAGGGGTAGCGAAATTTCGGTTATGCACATTTACTGGCACACCAATAGATACTTTCGGTCTGTCAAATATAGTAGGTTGTTAAGTGCAGTTGTAAATTCTATCACAGATCTGTGAAAAACAAATAAAAAACACAAATTTTATAGTATGATTGTCGATGTTATCGAAGAACAGCTTGCTCTATATCTGAAAGTATTGGTGCTTTACCATAAATCATTCTACATTTAGTCTTACGTTTATTCCTACATTCAATCTTACGTTTTAAGCTGATGAAAAGCGACGGAAGAAAGTCGAACATGTTCAGCGATCCCCAACTGTGCAGTTATTATATTCAAGAATGACTGATCTTGTCCATAGCTTTTCGAACATCGTATGTTGCTCGGACAGTTACTTTTCTTCTCTTTATTTCACATCTATTGAGATTACTCCCGCTTACGCCCAACTTCAGGTACGCCAAACAGAGCTGGCGGAAATGTGCGTTCATCATCTGGCTTCAATATCTATACAGGCGTTTTTTGTGAACAACATTGGAGAGTTACAGCAAAATGTAAGCAATCCTCCTTCTTTGTGTGCATCGAAAAGATTGTGAGTACTAATACCTGGATATTTCTAGGCCTGTAACCTAGCAGCAAACATTTTTACGAATGCAAAGGAGCATGTTCGCATGGGTATGTTGAATGACATCTTGAACTCTCTCCATCGTTCACCATGCGGGCGAAATGCGAGCAACGGATACAGATTTGGCCCAGATCAGTGGATAAGCAACACCACAGTGCTCGTGCTTCAACTCTTGCAAAGTGTTGTCAGAGTAAGGACTACTTCATTCTTCCATTGTGACATCGGAACTGCTTTTTTGCTTATTTTACCCTTTTTATAGATACCAGAAAGAGTTCACCACAAAGGAGATCATGCTGATGACCCCGACTCGGAACCGGTTGTGCAATCAGACTCAGTTGTTCCTAATTCCTATAAAGAAGTTCAAACGCTTGCACAAGCTTTTGCATCCGGATTTTTGAGCAGGTATGTTATTTGGAAATGCGGTGTGATTCTTATTTAACTGACAACCTCTTCTTTCGAAGTGAACTTCCGCCCGTCGTGGGGGAAACAGCGTACCTTTCTTAGTGAAAATAGTTGGGAAACAACGACTGGGTGCGAGCTCTTTGGGTAGGATATGGGACAAATGATGGTTCAGAGCGTGAAAGGGCGGCTATCCAAAGCTTCCGAACCGTAAACTGCGCCCACAGTTTGCTTTGAGTATTTGGGAGCATTGAAGGAATTCTTATGTTCACCATGGATGTTTTTCAAATTCAAAGGTGATAAAATATATTCAGCCCAAAGATGATGGGCAAAATTCGGGTTTGATCTATTTGGCTTGAATCTCGTGCTTGTCACTAATGTGTTTCTTGCTAGATGCTCTTCGAAAGGAAACAGAAGCGAAGGAGAAGAAGACTATCGAGCTCTATTTGATAGCTTCCTCCAAGACATGTTGACTGCTTTCAATAAACCGGAATTTCCGGCAGCTGAGATGTTTCTTCAGGTTGTGGGTAATCTCCTAGTGAAAAACTGCCGGTGAGCTCCCTAACAAACTTTGTCGCAGTATGAGTATCGCTTTGCTATGGAAGAAAAATGAAATTAAAGGAATAAGAGCGCTGATATCGCGATTCGAACGGTCAGTCTGGAATATTTGGGGCTGATCACATCACGCCTGAGAAGCAGCATGATATGGTCCATAGAAGATTCCAAGGAACGTATGGATGTAAGTTAATATTATAATCGTATACTGTGAGTTACAATACTTACATCAGTATTGCGGATTATCTGGCTCGCTAATTTGTACCGAGAAACCTTAGACATGTAACCTTCCTCCTTCGATGAGCCTTGTTCTTTACGTAGTTCGGGATTTCTCGACGTGACAAATCCTGCGCATGTTTAGCTTGTGGTGAAAACCATCAAATATGAAGACAATGTGCAAGAAGATGGAACTTCACTATGGCCGAGTGTAGCGGACGTAGATATCTCAGACGTGCGTTTATTATACGTACCTATATGTGTTGTTAGAGTTAGAAGTTTCTTTACAACTGATAGCCTTTACCATAAATTCTTCCCCTGTTTTTTTGGAATTTTTTTGAGCTTCGAAGTGCTGGAATTAGCAGGAATCTTATGAAAATTAATACCATCAGTTGCTTTCGCAACAATGCGAAACATATTGAGCACGCGTGCTCAATATGTTTCGCATTGTTACGCGTAACGTTCTCATTTCAAAGTTTTCCTGCGCGAGTACTTCTCAGAAGCAATATTTTGTTGTTCCTCGATACCCCCCAAGTTGAGTTATTTTCGCTCAACCTTCGTTTTAACCGCTTGTTTCCCGTCATTTACTCGGAACTGCATTTTACCTTCTTTTCACATTTCTGTAGAACATTACTTAGTTTCGAATCATTCGAAGTTTCGAATCATAGACTCTGATAGAAGCTAGGTTTGATAATAATAAATGTCTGAAAATTCAATACTAAGCCCACTGTAATTTTCGATATTCTTGCTAACCATGAATAGTTTTCATTCTTCTATTGTCTAACTTAGCTAAGATTAACAGAATGCGCAGTGGTCAAGACAAGAGAACTAGAAAAAGTCCAATTATTTAGTTTGAAAATAACAAATAAAAGAACAATATTTGACTTTAACGATTTCAGATGACCTTCAGCGAAAAGCAAATGGAATTAGAACGTGCCTTGCTTGATTACATTATTGTTAATAAGGATATTACGGTAGAGGTCAGTTTTAGCCTCTTCGTCGTTATTATTTATGTACATGAGAATGAGCGTCTTCATACTTTGTATTTGTTGACGGAGAAAAGGCGAGAACTGTGGGTTGGCGTGTTCATCGAGTTGGTGCTGGAGGGCTCACTATCTCTAGAGCCCTGAAGCATGCCTGCCCTGCTTCACTCATTTTCTTACATCTCTTCACGCTCCGTTCCGGTTATTCTCACAGGAGATTTTTATATTCGCAAGATCGCGTGAAAGTTTGCATAGAAGTTAAATTTTTCCTGAGCAAGCTACACGTAAAATATCTTTAAACATCAACATCGACGGCTCTTGCCTCCCCTTCACAGGCCATTGAAGAATTGATGTGATCGAGCATAAGAAATGAAATCACTGTTGTGCCTATCGAGTGTTAACTACCTATCTTACTGTTTCAGTATGCTGTGAGATTTTATTGCTGCGTATGGTATAAGGAGATCCTTGAAGATTTGCAAGAACTTGAAGCGCGATATGCTGAAAGCAAACGCGAGAATCTGTCAGAGAAGGTAATCACTGCCTTTTTAGAATTTGTTCGAAAAACTGCTATTTTGTCAGCTACATTTTTTCCATTATAAAATGTTTCTTATTATATGACGAGACAAATCATATACAAAATTGCTCTTCTAGGAACATCGAAAGAATGAGTCCCGTCACATGAAGAAAGTGAAGCGTGCACAGGCACAAAAGATTTTTCTCATTGATCTCTTGGGTCGCAAAAAGGATAGGCAAAGAAGATACGAGAATGCCAAGTCAGTCTCTTGAATTTTTAAATCTTCTTGCTCGGCTCTTCAGGTTAGAAAGGTTATTAATTGCCCCTTCAGGCGTTTCGGTAGCTCCATGCTAGAGTCTGATGTTGCTTGGTGCATCAAATATCTCGCGGCCAAGAGAGAATTCACCCACTCTTTCGATTCATTCCTGAAACAGGTGAGTGGATTTGTGCTTTCCTCTCTCTCTTCTACCTTGCCGACCGAATAATTCCTTTTAGATTGTTACTGGTATCACCAGTGAGACCACAGTGAGTTTACGAACGAAAGCGATGCGTTGTCTCACTCAAATCATAGAAAGTGATCAATCTGTTCTGCTGATGGTGAGCCTGACATAATCCGATTTCGAATTTCTCCTTCATGTTGCGTCAGTGCTCCTAAGATGCCCAGTCCTACTTTTTTATAGCCTGAGGTTTCCTCTGCTGCTCACAATCGTATGACTGACTCGAATGCTGCCGTTCGTGAGGCAACAGTCGAAATGATTGGCAAATTCGTGGTTGCAAATTCCGATGCGATTCCCACATATTATCCTCTGCTGGCTGAACGCTTAATGGTATCTATTTGTATGATTTCATCTATCAACTACGTTTGACGTACATGTTTTAGGACACTGGCGTGGCCGTCCGGAAACGGGTAATTCGAATAATGCGCGAAATTTGTGAGAAGTTCCCTAATTTCGAACAGGTAGAAGCCTACAATTTTTCAAATTTAGGCTGAATTATTGGCCATAATTTATTACCACAAGTTCAGATACCATCCATGCTCGCCCAAATAGTACGACGAGTGCAAGACGAAGATGGTGTGAAGAAACTGGTTCTGGAAACGTTCCAAGCGCTTTGGTTTCAACCAGTTTCTGAACGCAACACAGCAGCGTTACTAAAGAAGGTGCAGAGGGTTACTTATAATTTTCATAGGTGTAACCCAAACATTTTGGTTCAGAGGGCTGTGTAAGCGACACGAGTGTGAAAATTCAAGATAAGTATTATGATGAGGATTCGTAATTAATTAAGATGAAATAATAAATAATACGAATAACACCGTTCGTGTATATGATGGAATGGGGAGAAAAAGTTAATTTTTCAATGAAAGTATGGATGTTTCTGTCTACTTAGTGGTAATCTTCAGGTCGAAGGCTTAAGTTTACTGCATTGGAACTGTAGTATAATTTAACAAGTGCCATATTGGGTACCTATACACTGTGGAGGAATCTCACAATTTGCCGACGTAATGTTGTCTTCGTACATTTCTCATCTTAGCATTCTAGGTGATGACGATTACGAAAGTAATCCAAATATGTGCTGAAGAGATGAAGCTCGAGGCAATGGAAATGCTTTTCCAATCGCTGTTGAAGCAAGGCGACAGGGTATATTTCTACCGTTGTGTACAGCTTTTCGAAATACTCTGGACGAGTCATTCGTACCTATTTTAGAGTACTCTAGCCGCGAGTCGACAAATCGTCGATATGTTCATGGATAATGTCCTTGCGCTTGAGAACAAAATGGCGACAGGTTAAGTTGATATTCTTGAGTAATTCTTGGAGCGATGTGCATAAATGTCTTTCGTTCTAGAAAATGGTGTGACTCCAAACTCATCGACTGACGATTTAAAGAGTGCCGAGTTACACAAAGCGAATCAAGAACGCCTTCTCGCCTGTCTCAACACTTTAACCTTATTCAGCAAAGTACGTTTTTTGGATTTATTTGCAGTTTATCACATAATTATGGTAAAACATGCGGAAAGACTTAGGTAAGCAGGCCCAACTTTTCTTGGTTGTGCTACATGTATTGGCCCCAGGGTAAATTCTACATGGCTAACCAATCCTACTTGCTTATGATCCTCGAAGGCTCAAGCTCACATGCAAACCGATACTGTTGATCGGAGGCTTATGATCCACCCAATTTCGAGTACTCTTCCACACTCAGTGATATACCCACATTCGTTGTGAGATAAGTTTCTTCGAACTACCAACCCCTTACGCGCGATTACTGGGCTTCTGCATGTCGGTGATTGTCAAAAATAGTGACATCGCGACTCTTCAGGCCTGTACTCATAGGGCAATGAGGAATCTTTGCCTCAATAACTTTGAATAGCTGGTATCTCGGGGTTTTAAGCAGTTGGATGAGGAACACTCGCTGCTAATAACTAATTTTCTGAAACGGAAACTTTTCTTGGTGAAGTGTTCTGTTTCTAAATTTGTGAAATTTTCGCTCTATAGATGCGATCAATGTAGAATGTTTTTGTGCGTTAATAGTTGAAAAACAGGGAAATCTGGTGAGATTTTTGTAAACCTACACTATGAGGTTCAAGTTTTAACATTAAGTTTTTGCTATATCTCTTTGTTGCAACTAACACGGTGAATCTCTCCATTGTTTACCAACGGTTTGAGTGCAAAGGTCGATTGTTTTCAGGTTCGTCCTGAGCTTCTTGTTAAGCATGCAGAGACGCTTCAACCATATCTTTCGATGAATGCAACCCAGAAATCAGAAGTGACGGTGCGTGTGAATCGTCATCACCATAAACCATCAGTAGGATAATACATTCATTGCAGGTGCTTAACGAAGTTATCGGCATGCTAGAGAGGGTCGTACCTCTTATGAGCCATCCAAGCGACACTTTCCTCATCACGTGAGTGGTTTTGTGGTCTAAGTTTTCCCTTACGTACGTACGCTGGATTTTCCCGTTTGAATTGCAGGGACGGTAGAAAAGTAAGAATTACGTGCCAAGTGTTTATGCAGGTGCAAGTGTATCAGAGGGTGATAATTTTGCAAATTCTCCAAAAATCGCTTTTGAGATGAAGCTCTCAACAAATTAATGACATCACTTCAAGCAATTTGCAGCCTTGTAGGAAATATTTTTTATTTCGACGTCACCCATACGAAGAGGGATCTGTTGCGTACATTATTTCACCATTCGACGTTTACAGAGTCCATGCCGCGAGATGCGAAACATACTGCGCGGTGGAGAAATCCCTTTTATGTAATTGGTTTAAATGAATAAACATGGGAAGTAGCATTATGAATTGCCAAGGATAGATGTTAAATAGCACTAGTAGTAACAGAAAACTGTGACTGTTAAGCTAGAAATTGGTTGTAACGCTTAGCAGAGCCATTTGAGATGCAATGAGCAGCTTTAAACCCCGTTTTCTATCCAGGTGAAGCTCTTACATCAATAAAAAGTGTGGGATCGTGGTTTGATTCACAGACATTTTCAGCCAAGATCAGACTCTTGCGAACCTAACAGCTAGTGCCAGTGGTGTGACAACGACTACCGTCACTATCAGTTGCATGTCAGCTATTTGGCATCGTTTTGGACGGCCTGAAGTACCTGCAGTTGCTACTGTTTTCAAGTCTTACCTAGGTATTCTTTATTGTTTTCAGAGGTTCTTCTACTAGATTTTATTTAATGTCGTGCTACTTTTGTTGGTTTTGAGTTTAGACTTGACTTAGACATTTTGTGTAAGTTTTCAGGATATCTTGTACGAGCGAAGAATGCCCTGAAGACGATACCCACTTTCCAATTGGACGATCATAAAACGCTGCGCATTCAGAGGTATAATGTAATTTCATGAACTTGCATTTTCGTAGAGCCATATAATTTAATTGTTCATCGTAGCAGACAACCCAATTAGGTGCACACCAAGCCTCTTTTTTTGCTGCTTAAGCAAAGCAGTAATGTGTGTAAGGACATGCTCTATAGGGTTTGTTCAAGCGAAGCGCTTTTAGGTTTCTTTGTGGTGTTGGGGTTATGGCACGCTATTTTGACTTCGACTCCATTATCAAAGACCCGGAGTTTGAGAAGAAAATATTTCCTGCCAATGCTGTGCGACCTGATTTGTCTCTCAGTGTCGACGATATCAACCATGAGAATCTGGAAAAGCCACGGTAAGATCTGACTTCGCTATCTTTGAGATGAGTTGATTCTTATGAAACCAACTACAATTGCAGACGAATTCGGGATAATGTCTTTGATGTACTTTTCTACTTCTCAAGCAGCAATGTGCCAGCAATGCGCTACAAAGCATTCGTCGCCCTTGGTAAATTTTCAAAACTTGGTGTCCGAACAATCTCTGATAGTGAGGCAATATTTTAGGTCATTTATGTGCCCGGTATCCTGAGTATTTGATGTGTCGGGATGTGAAAAACATGTACCACGTCTTGCTCCGCTCCGATGATCCCAACTTCACCCAGATGCGTTTGCAGGCACTGCAGAACTTGGAAGAATTTTTGAAATCGGAGGAGTTGAAACTTATCAGAGGCGATCAAAACTGTACGTCTCTTCTGCTTGTGATCAGATTTGAGATTTATTCGAATTTTTCAACCTTTTTCGTATTGTGGAGTAATCATTATTGCAGTTGGAAAAGGAAAAGAACAAGAAAATCTGAAGGAGATGGATCAAGCAGGATCTGGACTTGGATCAACAGTTATTCAAATATACTGGCAGGCTGTTTTGCAGGGTTACTTTTCTAGTCACAGCGGGATTCGTTGTCATTCTGCACAGGTGCGACTTTTTCTCAACTTAGATGCTGTAAATGAAGGAACTGCTCAGCTTCAGTTCAGTAGTTGTTCTTTAATTTTTTTTTACTTTTTTTTACTTTTCGAGAAAAAACTGCTCTTGTTGTGGGACTACACTTTTAGAATTGGACTCAATATTAAAAAGACAATTCTTGACATTACAATGAAGTTATTGCTAATCGTTGTCATTCCGAAAGGTCCGCAGGTTTTATCCTCGTCGAGTCGTGTTTGAAAGTGCAAAAAGTGTTTTTGTGTTGACCAAATAGCGGAAAAAATTCATTGAAATAGATCGTTTGAAAAAATCACACCTGGGAAAAGAAATTTAGCGGTAGAAGCAAGAGGTCGTTTGATGTTCACGAGCGGACGAAAATAGCGATAGTCAATTAGTTGACTGAAGTAGGCTTGTTAGACATGCAGTGAATTTCGGCAGTATGTGAAAATGTCTGAATAGCTCAAGGCATAATTGCTCTATTACTGAGTTGTTCTCTTGAACTCATCACGTGTTTGTATACAAGCTTCATTGGACTATCGCCAATCCAAAAATGAATCGCAGGGAAAAATGCCTTGCAGTCACGCGGAAACTGCGGTTGTATATAAAGTTCGCCTTACCGCAGGGATTCCGAATGAAAGCTACCTCATCTGAAACTGGCCGGTTTATACCGTCAGTTGCTGGGTGGTTTCGAAGAATGCACAAAGTTACGGCGAGTGGTTATTCTCTTAATCACCTGCGTGCCCTGGGGGTCGCGGACTCAGGTGGGGCAATGGAGACGTTTGATCAGGATAGTCACAAATTGTTATGATCCTTTTAGGCTATGAAGAAGGCGATTCCGCTGAAATGTCAGCCTAATATTGCCTACAAACTTAGTAAACAGTTCAAGAATATAATTCAGTAACATGTTTCGCTATCTGCTTGTTTAGGTAGAGTTATTTCCAATTTTAGGTGGCAAATCTCACGTACACTCAAGGTCTGGTAACGCCAGGCACTTCGATAGCGACATTTATAGCAATGACAACGGATCCACTGCCGATAGTTCGAAGTAGGGTAGAAGGCATGCTGAAGGATATTGATGCTAAGTACGCTGGAATGATACAGGTTCTGAGTTAATCACATTGCACCTATTGTTGGTTATTTTGCCATATTCCTTTGTTTTTCTACTTCAGAGCACAGCTACGCAAGGAGTGCGAAAAGCTTACCAGCTCCAATTGCAAATCCGTGAATCGGGCTCTAATGGCGAATATCCAATTCGTGGAATTCGTGCATGTGACATCTCCCCATATGCTACCTCTAGCGGTTAGCGCTTTGACAGTTTCATTTGAACAGAGTTAGATCATAAACAATTTTCAGCTCGCATCGATCCATCCACCGGTCTTCCGCGTCATTCCAACGACGGTCAGGCAGTGTTAAGCGGTCTCTATCAACGTCTCCGCACTAATCGACAACAGCGCAGATCTTTTCTCACTAGTGTGTTACGGTATGCTTTATTTTGTCGCGTCACATTGTGCCCCCAAGTGCATTTGTTACTCCGAAATGAGTGTTTGCAACTCCCTTTGTAACCTGTACTGCCGGACGAGGTTCCGAATAGTTGCACTGAGAGCGGTTGTATCTATATGCTGCGACTTTGTCCTGCGACACCTCTCAGTTTTCCTTTTATGCACCTTATGTATTAGAAAGGTCCCTTCACAGCGAAGAAAATTCGTAATAATCAAAGCCAATCCTTTGCAGAACAACGAGCAAAGAGCGCCTTCTTGTTTAGGGAGCAGATTGATAATTTTGAACTCAAGATAGAGATAGGTGAACGAATCGGCCATCACTGAATACGTCTATTTTTATAATATTCAAGCTTTTGTAAGGTGTGGCAAAGACTCGGTTACATAGTTGCCCAGATGATAGATGTAGCGAGTGGATGAGAGATCAATGCTCAAAAAGATGGATGTAGTATAAGCCGCAGTCAGAAACAACGTCTATCCTTCTGCAGCCTTGATAAAAGTGTTCACTTTATTTTTTCTTCATACGCGATTTTTTTTCAATGGTGAATGTAAAAGTTTGTTAGGTAGGAAAATGCCGCGTTTCGTGAAAGAAGTTTGACTAGCAGGGGCATATGGCACAATTGTGAAATGGGCGCGGATCGGCGTAGGGAGGAAAATGTTTTTAATCCAGATCAAAATTCCAAGCTTATCACGAGTGTGTTACGCTAATTACACTACCTGCCACCACTTTTTTAATTACTCATGGGACAAATCTTCAAGATTTTGTCTTCAGGTTGTTCAGCGAGGATTCTAGGGAGAAGCTCCGATTAGACGAGTGGATATTTGTGGCGGACAACCTCGCTATGTTTCCCTACCAGGTTTTTGTTCTTTTTAGTCTGATCGGTATTTCATTGAAAAGGAAGTTCCTGAATGGGTCCGGCTTAGTCAGCTTAAATGTTGTGCTTCAGGTTATGGATGAGCCACTATATGTCATACACACAATTGATTCGATTGTGTCATTGTCTGGACAGTCACTCCTTGTTCAATGCAAAGCACATTTACGAGCTGGGCAATCGTACTACTCTCCTCATCAACAGCAACAGAGAAATCAACTTGAAGATGACGACCTTCTTTTTGAGCCGGAAGCATTATACAGTAATTTTAAATCTTGATCTCTGTACTGCTTCGTTTTCCATGTCCATCTTTGCAGACCGTTTTCCCGAAGAAAAGGGCCCATTATATGACCTCATGGATAACAGTCAAGCGTGCTTTATTTTACTCTACCTCAAGAACTTTCTTATGAAGCTTTATGGGTTCACGGAAGCGTGAGTGGTCAAATAACGCAATCCACTTATGAATGATCGCATCAGCTCCACTGGTCATCTGTAATTTCAGAAAAGTTCAAGAATATTCTCCTTCGGAAGCTGCGAAGGTTTACGAGAAGGCGTTGTCATCAAGGAAAAACGTGCCAATGTTCAATCCACTGACAGCTATTGATGGAGGGCGCCGTCGTGACGGCCATGTTGATCCACTGGCGAATGACCGGCAAAGTATTCAGAGTCACTTCAATCTGGCCACGAAAATTTGTAATGTAAGTAGCAGCTTTTCTCTTGGAAGCAGCCTAGAGCTCGAAACAATGGTTAGAAGTATTTATGTTTAGTTCCGCAAGATGTTGCTATCTTTGGATCGAATGGAGAACGATGGTGACAGTGACCTTGAAGGGGACATCACTGTTGCTCCAAAAGATGAGGACGATACTGCTGATGGGTCCATGGAAGCATCTGCCGATAATGATGTCGATATGTAAGCAGACCGCTTTGCTGCCAATTTCTTGAATTCGCCGCCAGCCCACTTCATCTCATACGTAGTCTAGTGATCGTGATTGTGATGTAATTTTTCGGTCAGGGTCATTTCTTTTCTATACTTCCTTCATAATACTACATCTGGCATTTCGTTGTTTTCATTCAGCATTCAGAGTTATCTAATGACCTTTTTGCGGGAGCTCTTGTAATTTACCATTTTGTTACCTCAATATTATGTTTTCCGGATGATCTAGTTCATTATATCATTCTTCCTCATTTCTGATTTTGTTTAGGCACAGATATTTATTTTGCACGTATTTTAGCTTGCGAAAGTGTAACTTCGTTAAGGAACTTGTCTTACTTCATTTTGAAGCGTAGCAGGTGGTTTCTTCTGGTAAGCTGTGGGATATTTCCCGCGAGAACTTTCTTGTAAATACGATCTGTTTGATTCTCTTGCAAATTCTATGTTTGCTGTAAGTGCTGTTTCGATTTGATGATCTCGTCCTGTTGCGTTGTTTCTTTTGTATCTCTTTTCGGCTGTCACATTGTTGCGCACTCATTCGCAAGCCAAAATCGGACCCTGTTGGTACATCCTGTCTAATAAATATACATGTTTAAAGGTTTTTCGTATCTCAGTCCACGCATTTACAACATCAGACTCTGTTGATATCTAGCAATAGAAAATGCCCTCATCAGTCCAGTATCTTTAGCAGGTCCCATTATGATTTTATTATAAATAATCTCGCAATGGTGATAACTGAACACCAATAGGAACATAGAGCGGTTGGGAGCATCCCTAAATGATTAGAACATCTACTATGGCCAAATTGTGAGAGATTCGTTCATAGAGGATGCTTCACAGTTGAGATTCTCTCGTTGTCTTTGGGAGCAAGAACGGTATAACCGTCCATAGTGTCATCCGGTTTAGCGATGGGCCACTGTCGCGCCGTGGGCCGGATCCCCTGCCTGTCCGGTCTCGCATCGGGGTTCCGACAGGAGGAAATCCAGCCACGGTGCGATAAGGGGGTTGTTACGCCTATGAGACTTACATGCTCGCAGTGCTCCACCTGCCACGGGTTGTACGCAGCAACGTAGGCCCTTAAGTCCGAGATAATAATTACCAGTCGGGGCGCCCGGCTAACGCCGGGCTTCCCTCCTTCTTATGGTGTCGCCCAGCTTCGCGGGGCGCTCAAGCTTCCTGTAAGAAATTTGCTATGCGTAAATAACTCTTCGGATTCTCTTTTTTCTTTGAAAGCGCTTCACCCTCAAAATTAGCTCCGAATTTGGAGCGATTTTTCTGTATTATGATTAAAGTCGGATTACCCGGCTACCGCCGGGCATCCTCCTTCTTATGTAGAGTCGGTTCGCCGCCGGGCTTCCCTCCTTCTTTGACAGCGTTGTAGTAATCGGCTAACTCTCCACCCCTTCCTCGGAACAAATAATATTTTCCTGTACACGAAGTTTGACACAGGACCAACAGGGTGTTGGTATTCAGTGAAAGTCGGTACTTATGTCTTAAACTGGAAGTCTCGTTCTTTTGCTCTCGTTCTTGGAGATAAATACCCAATAAAGAGTGAAATATTAGGTAATCGAAGCCTTGGGCGTAATTAGAAATATTTCGTGTGATGATAACACCACTATCAGATCTTATCAATGAACCTTTTATTTCACAGAGATAACACTAGTTAAGAGTTCCAAATAATTGGCGACCGGTTAGATTTTCCGCAAATGATATCGAACAAAGAGGATCCTGCATTGAGTCAAGAGCCTTGCTGGATAGCAGTGTTAATCTAATAGCAAGAAATGAACAAAATTCTCATCTGCTTATCGTAGTGCGTCCAATGGGTCCCTATAACTGCGCTTACCACTTCTTTTGTCACACTACTTTACCACCTCCTCTTATCGAATGAAACATACTAAACAGTCAAGGCTTCATTGTAAATACCGAAGCGTTAGGGTTTCGATCGGCAGGTGGCACTTGCCCTCTTGGGCCCCTCATCTTCTTTTATCAGTTATAATCGGTTCTTGTCATCGAGTACCTAGGATTCCGTCATATCTTCACCACTTATTAAAAAGCCAAGGCTCTACTGTTTATACGAAAAGCTGTAATCTTACCATATTTGAACTCTCTAGTTCTACAAAAACAGGATTTACGAATTTCCGCTAAAATGATTACTCTGCACAAATCCCCCCCCCCCCCCCCCCNTGTACTCCTACCAAATTTGAGCTTTCTAGGTCTACGGGAACAGGAGTTACGAATTTTCGGTCAAACACACACACCGACACACACACACACATACAAACACACAAACACACCGACACACCAACAGACACACTCAGCGAATTATATAAAGTAGGATCTCCTACGCCCCGCTTCTACGTGTTAACTATGCAATACACTTATAAACCCCCTTTTCTCATCTCCAAGATGGATCTTCCCATGGCGGTTACTACTGACATCGTTATGACTCAGCACTCCAAATCATTATCCAATCAATACGCAACACTCCTAACCTCCCCGTGTCCGATAGAAACGTGAGAAGCACATAGAACCGTGTTAGCAATGAATTCTTGCTATTACATCAAACACGTTAGAATATAAAATACACGACAATAGTCACCACAATAGTTACGGCGTCCTACGCCGGCTACTACTGAATACATCATGAAAAATAAGGTCGAACCCTGAACTTAGACTCACGAAAAGGGGAGTACGCGGTCCACCCCATTTCTCGTATTGATATTGACATGCAGCGATACAACGATAATGAAATATACGCAGTCTCCTATATAAATACAACAGCACGGTGAGCAGAATATTAGAACCGGTGCGCCAGAGAATTACATTACGACGAGGGGGCGACCGGGTAGACCGTGACGGGGAAACCGGAGACTACGCTGGGCGTTAGTAGCAGCGAACGAGTATGGACGAAGACGATGTTAAGACTGAATGAAGACTGAAGCCTTTTTTGGGCCCGGTGGTGCCCGGGCTATTCATTGGCTGCGTACGTTGTCTGCGCGCTAGGACCCGCGCACGCCCGAGGAAGTGTGACCCTTTAATAGAGTCGTACGAAAGTCACGACAGCCACCATGCTACTCAACTACAGTTCCACGATGGACTACTCAAAAATTTTTGGAATTCGGGCAAGTCTCTCAGCGCTACACTAATCAACACCGAAGGACTATGTCATTGATACGGCCATGATGATATCACAGACGGTTCCCCTGTGATGGAGTCGGACAACGGCTTGCTTGGTAGATGACCTTTACGGATCTAAAGAGCTGTGTGGCCGTTGTTTCTGTTTCGTAGTGGGAACCAAGGCAGCCACGATGAGTTGCAGATTTGGGGTCGTAGTGAGTTAGCGAGAGATCCGAGCCATAAAGGGTTAGCTCAATTCTGTTAAATGAAGCTGGCACTTTTTTTTCCGATGCAGCATCCTCTTCCGTGGCTGCGTCTACAGAGCGCCTAGACAATGCAGATCTTTGAAGAAGCTCTCGCAAAGAGTGAGGATCCCAAGGAAAGCGCTTGGCTGGCTAACGTTCTTTTATGCTAGCATCTTTTAGATGATCTTGACTTTTTCCGGGGTGTGATGTTGCCCTTGAGGCTGTAATGAAGCCGAGAAACTTATTATGTGTGTGTACGAGAGATTGCATTAATCGGTAGGAGTATGCAATCGTAGCTTTGAAATCGCTCTAACACACTGTATAGTTGGGTATTGTGCCCCTCATTGATTTTGTCAGTGACAAGTATGTCGTATAGTAGAGATTCAGCGGCTCTATCCAATTAGGCAACGACTGCGCTGAAAGTAGCAGAACCAAGCTTCTCTTCGAAGGGTTGTGGAATGAAAATGTAGTCCATTATGCGTAGATCATCAGTAGTCGCATAGAGTCGTTGCCCACTTAAATATGTAAATATGCTTCAGCGAGGTCTGACTGTATGTAGCAGCGTCCTCAGTCAAATATGTTAGATCCTGTCCTTGATGATTGGAAGCGGATGCTGGTGCTGCTCGAGGGCGTTTTAAGCCCCGTTAAATAGTTGGCACGAAGTCATATCGTTCCATTCTTCTTCCTGACGGCGAGGACAGGAGTGGCTTCATAGACATCAGGCGATTCTCCATAGCAACGTATGAGAGAGGACCAGCTTTCATGATACAGACTTAGAGTGATTTTGCCGTCAATTTGGAGCTGCGTCCATAGGTTTGGAGACTGTAGGGAACGGTCTTCAGGTGGTCGGTCAAGCCGTAGCCCATTGTCCTCAGCGTCGAACAGGTTGCGCTGCAGATGGTGTTTTGAAAGTCAAAAGGACTTGTTCTTTGTAATCCTGTCGAGGCTCTGAGTTGTTTTGCCGGTGACGGAACAGGTACCTCGTCTTCGATGCTCATCAGCGGGGAACTGCACACAGATTAGGTTGTTCGGGAAGAAATGGAAATTAAACAAGATCAATTCAAAAGATAATCTCCATTATTATCAATGACTTGTTGCCAACGTATAAGCAAAGAATGGAAGAACTCGGCCGGCTGCGACTCAAAGCATAATAATTGGACACCCAGAGTTTGACTTCTTCGCGGGTTGTGAACCTTCTCTAGGCCAGAGGGTGCTGCATCGACCGGAACATATGGCAATCGGACTGAGGCAGGTCTGAGCTGTATGGCGGATAGCCAGGACCTCCCAGCCCAGTTCCTTAATTTTTTCCAAAGTATTTTTCGCGACATGTGGACGAGCGGTTGATGTCGTTTGGAAACCTTGACGGAATAGTGTTTGATCCACGCGGTTCAATTGATCTTTGTAGATGTTCATCGTAGCTGTTTGACCCGAATCAAAAACCTCAAAGCACATCAAACCTTTGCTGTTCCACCAGACACAGAGCATCACCTTTTTGTCGTGTATATTCGCTTTCGGAGTAGGGTTTGGAGTGTCACCGGCGTCTAACCTTCGTCTTTTTCGCGTTGCGTTGTCGAAGCAGATCCATTTCTCATCTGATGTAACGATAGAGTCTAGGAACCCGCTGTTCTTGGAGCGACGAAGAAGAATTTCGGCCATTGCCACTCGTGTTGCCCTGTTTGCATCGCTCAGCTGTGCGGTACCCACGAACTTTTTTCTTAAAAAAATAAGGTGGACATAGGAGAAATATATCACAAAATGCACAATAAAAATTTCTTTCTAATAGACAGATTGTTTTGAAAATATTCTATAGTAATAAAGAAGTAAATGGACAAATTCAACGCGCATTTCTTCTAAACAACCTAATATTTGCCTCGCACCTGGCTTACTGTTTGCAGATTTCAGAATAATATGAGGCGGTTGTAGCTTTGGATGGCATAGAACGATCCAGTCGCGATCGCTCAGCAAGGTGACTTCTGATCAAGATACAGACACGAGACACAAGACATCTGTTCACATCGACTTCTGTTAGACGGTAGATGCGCAGTAGGAAGCGTTGTCGGTTGTTTCGTCAAGTGTTAAGGCTATGAGGGAGTGTTGCTGTTTTTCGTTCCCATCTCAGATTCTGCTTTTTCTTCGTCGTGGAATCCATGCAGAATCCTCGCTAGTATCCAGAATTCTCGCAATCATGAGATGACTTGTTCATATATAGGTAGACTTGTGACCTTCCCTCCTTCAACAATGGGTTCCACAGCGAGAAAATGGCGTTGGAGGACCACCATTCCGCATCTGGTGACAGCCAGCGATGTTGACATAAGACTACTGGAACTGATCGTTCGACTGAGGTACGCTCGGGTGAAGTTGTTGAATTTTCTTGGCGAACAACTTTAGTCTAGTCTGAGGGTTGTCCACTGTCCTCCATCTTACGAAAAGCACAGACGCAGATGAACAGATCCTCTGGAGAAGTGAGTCCGCATATCCGTATTAGGCACTTTGTTCGGCCAGGACTGACATGTTGAATTCAGTTGTAGCGTGCGTTGATTAATAGATCCTGTGTAGCACAAAGACTTTCTTCATTGAGCTTGGTCTTCAGGTAGATATGAGGGCGGGAAAAGATGAATGTATTGGGCAAAAATAGATCCTATAGCGGCCCGCTCGCTAAAGATGCCTCGCTTAGCCGTTCGAGTAGGATGTGGCTTATAAAACGAGCATATGTGACTGAATCTAACCTCTCGAGGACGTGACCCCGGCAGAAATGCACGAATGTTGCTGTAGTAAATCTATTGTCGTTGTCTGTGTTGAGCGTCTGCGGCTATTGGAAGTGTGCAAAAACTTTCGCCGAAATCTTGGGGTTGCCGTAGTGATTACCGTCATCTGCTGGATCTCAGCCACTCAGAGTATACATCAAGGATGACGATGTGGAAGTTTCCGTTGAGAGGCCTTGCTCGGTGTGTAAGCGAGCCCACGGAGTGACTGACTTCGATCACTGTTGGGGCCGACCTTCACAGGTCGAGCTCCAACAGTGGTCGACACCTAGTATTTCAGTCGAATTTCGGCCGGGTCTGTATGTCCTTCATCAGCATTGAATGGAATTACGGTAGCGGATTTCTTTGCATAGTTGGGAGCACTTTTCCATGCGGAGGCGGAAATAAGGGTTTTGGAATCTTTTAAGAGCTACTCTCAGAAGAGATTTCTTATGATCGATAAGTTTCCCGTTGATAATGATATGTCGAGATTCTTCAATCACTTCCATGTGGAGGTTCACGTTTGCTAAGTACAGATTGGGAAACGCTTCCATTCTCTGAGCTCGGACAGTATCGTTCAGTCAGGAGTGAGTGCTGGTTTCCTCAGAGGGCGTCCTATAGAGGAGTTTGCAAAACATGGATTGATCTATTTTTCTCAACAACATCTACCAGGGCAGCCCTTTGCGAGTGTGCTCGGAATCAAGCACCCTTCTGGTCCACGACCCGTAGTCGACGCGCACCCTTTCTCACGCACTGTCCTTTAATTTTCCGATCTCACAGCTCAAAAACGGTCCAGAAGCCAGTGCTCCTCAACGCGCCGGACTCCACGTTCTTGAAATCCTTTGGTTTCTTTGATGTCATTCGTCATGTAATGCACGTTGTTCAGGTAGTTGCTTGATGATACTCTAACCCGTCAATTCCTGAGATCTTACGCTCATCGATTTTGACGTCATATTGATGCCTGTTAGTAGAAACTTCTTCGTTCAATTAGTTCCACCCGAAATCCACTTCAGCAGTGACCTCACGCATCCCTGCATCTTGCCCAACATCCAAATAAATGAAGAGAACAATTTGAGTTCGTCCACATTTCTCCCGTATGCTTTAACAGATTTCATTTCATTCACGCTCACGTATTCTATATCAGGTATACTGTAATGTCAGACCTCTCAGTCCTATTTGAGAATAAAGACGTTAATTCCGACGCTCTCTTTACTGAAGATGTTCTCCTTTTCCGCTTTGGGTTATGTAATCACGTTGTTTCGAGTGTTAAAAAAGTTTAATTACCCAAGTCTGAGGTTTCTTCTGCGCTGAGGTTGACCCGTGAGCTATTGTTCGTTTCGTGCTCAATTTTGTAGATCGCCAAATGCAAGTCACGCGTGGCTAAACTATGCAAATCCAGCGCAGCGAATATTTATCCGGTGTTAGAACGTTCGGTCGATTCCTTACGTGAGCTGAACAGAGTATGGAACGGGCCGAACTTTTCGGAAGATAGGACTCGCATCCGGCTTGAGATCTTCTGACCTGAGGGGCCTTTGTTTTTGTGCAACATCTCAGTCCTGATAAAAATAACAGCAGGGAACTCTTTCTGGAGCTGTAGTTGAGCGATCGTCGCACAGTAGCCAGTGCCGATTAGGTCATGGCTACAGTTAACACTTCTAACGATACGATCGAAGAGCCACTCGTCTCATTTGGTCCTGTTAAATCACTGTAGTGAGAAAGGAACTAGTATGGGCCACTTGGCAGGTTTTTCTTCATCTGCATTCACCTAAGGAGAATGTCCCATGAAGTAGCCACGACATTGACTTCTATGCTATTTAGAGGATCAAGCTTGAAGAGAAGTAACTGCAATTTTTAACCTTATTGCAATTTCGCTGATTTCATCGCTTTCTCCGCCGCCTATACTCAACACCTCACAAGCCCACATTCACTGCTCCATTTGGAAAAGGTAATACCAAACCATTATGAGCTGTACCTATGAATCAGTGCGCCATCAAAATTCAACAAGCGAGCACTTATAGTTATAGTGCCAACTGTTAGATTATTTTTTGAGCCAAGGATTTTCAACGATCTTATCTCTTAAAGATAACAGCAGCATTTGCCGACCCTCTTATCTATTTTGCTCGCAATCAGTGCTCCACATCGCAGCTCGATTGTGTCCCTGTAGTACGCACATGTCGCTTGTAAAGACGTTGGGCTACCTTGCCATTGTGTTTATACTGCCTTTTGCTGTAGCTCTCTCACCTCCCGTGATATTCGGCAGACCACGAGGAGGATTTCTACAGGTGACTACAAACTTGAGTTCATTTTAATGTCTTCCTTTTCATACGCTATCGAGCTCACATTTGGTTAGGTAAATTATAGATTGATTCTTCTTGCACCCCAAAAATCAGAAAACTTCATTTTATGTAAATTATGCTTAGTCTGCGATCATTTCCTTGTCAGGTATGATTTCGTTTTGCTTGAACGACCTTCATTCTTATTTTTGTAATCAAACAATTTCTTTTATCTATCTTCCTCGCAACAGTGCGTGACAAGTTCATGCACTGCCCCAAGGAAGGTAGGCAGGTCCAAACCATCCCCTTGGATTTACTCTGTGACAGGCAAAAAAAAAACACATTATATTTATAACAGCCGGATTGCCTGACGCCGGCTCTTATGTTAAAGTTGATCCGCCGCCTGCACTCTTCCAACTTTAAGATCTCTGGTCCAAAGGAGTAGGAGCTATTGGTTTTCAGCGGAGCACGCACGTCGACACCCTTCGTGCGTTGGGTTCATTCCCCCTTATCCCGCTTTACTGCCTGATTTAACACAAAGTACAGTCATTTCATCACGCCCCATGATTCCCCCACCCTCATGCCTCTGCCGGCTGGATCCAGTCCAGTTACCTTCTATTAGCTACCATCGGTATCCTAAATCTGCCGTCTAAACTCGTTCAAAATTTGAACACCTTAGGTCAGAATAAGCAATTTCGCGAACGCCTCGCTATCTGTGGTGCACGGGAACAGGAGTTGTGATTTTCCGCTCAAAACCCGCCGACTGTGTGCCGAGTCTAGTCCTACCATTCAGCATAAGTGTTCCCATCATGCCACCAGTATTCTACGGATTTTGGACGTTTTAGGTGTACATTAACAGGAGGCATGATCTTCCACTCAAACCCAGCCCTCTGTGGGTGACGGCTCGGCCCTTACCATAAATGTTTCCATGCTGCCTCCTGCACTTCTACGAAGTTTCAATGCTCTAGGTGAACGGGAACAGGAGCTATAAATTTCCACTCAAACTCCGCCCACTGTGTACGGAGTCTGGTCTGCCGCCTACCATATGAGCTATCATCCTGCCGCCTCTATTCCTATCAAAATTGAACGCATTAGGTCCACGGGGAGGGACAGGAGTAATGAATTTCCTTTTAGACACACACACATACATTTACATGCAACACATACATACATACATACATACACACCAACAGACACACTTGGCCGATTATATAAGCAGGATATATGCACATATATCGAGGCATTCAGAAAGGTAAGATCCCTTTATATGCACTCATGATCTTCTCTTAAGCGGAATGATGAAATGATGAATCTCGACCTTTGGATTACTGCCAGTGTTGTTCTCCTACCAATCTCTTGAACACTTTTTATTGTTTTTCACTTTCACTAATTTCTTTTGTTCACTTTTTCCCTGTTTTTAAGGTTTGCAAATAACTTGCACGTTTTTTTGGCTGTTCCTTACCTCGCTTACTTCCATGCCTCCTTTGCGCAACTGTTGATCTTCATATTCCTCAACCTCATAGGTCGTTTTTCAACTTCAACGTCAGAGCATCCATAGTGGGAAGCGAAACTCCTAAGACTGGAAAGAATACCGACGAAGGATTCCATCCCTGATGAGAGCTCCACTAATCCATCGCTCGACGCAGCCATGGCATCTTTTAGATACTCCTTTCGCGTTTCGCTTGGTTCAAATCATTCAGTAATGTTTTGGATCCTCAAAGGATGATATGTCAATTACTATAACACCTCTTAGCCCGCACATGGTTCATCCACACAAAGTCAATAACACTGGAACACATTGCGCAACAAACTTGATTACAATGAACGACAAGGAATAAAGAGTGCATTAAGCAGCACCTGAAGACCTTGCCGAGAGGGATGGTGAGTACATGGCGCGTCCTAGAACTTGAAGCAGTGAGAGTAATGAGTCATGGAAGTATGGAGTCGAGTAGTGCCTAAGAGTCGTGAAGCCATTTTTGGTCAGAGAAGCTTACATCGTTCGGCTCCCCTACGCGTTCCTGTCTATCTAATTCCGCCGCCTGCAAATAAGATTCACAAGAGCGAAGCTAAGTGGAATCGAAACACAAGCAAGAAGGGATACAGCAATATCGTAGGCCTGAATTCCCCTTTATTGCAAGTTCTAGAGCTGCTTCCCTATCCTTTTCCAAATGTCTGCCAGTTGAATTGGCATATTGCTACAGTGCAGCAAAATGTTGTAGCCTCAAAAACTGCGGTCTTTTTCCGAGCTGACTGAATCCTACCAGGATCTGTTCCATAATAATGTGACCTTGGGCTTCTAGTTGCTAGGATTTCCAAAATTTCATGTAGTGGTTTAAACTTACGTATTGCAATGCTGGCTTTCTCCTTTTCCTCATTCCGCTTTATGTACTTTGCTGTTCGAGTTGTATGTACTGTACTATTTTCAATAACAATAAAAGGAAAGGAAAATCGCAAACAGTAGGGAGAATGCTCAAAAGAAGAGATGACGTTTTTGGTATCCGCCAAGTGTGGCACTGCCAATGATGAATGTATCCTGCACCCTAGCAAGTTAAACGCACAGTATACTATAGAAATTGTTCCTGAGATTCTTCTTCGGCGGATCTGTGGCCCCCTCTTACACCATATGTGACACACCATGTGTAAATAGTGGTATGCGAGGGACCATTGTTCGATCTATCAAGGTGGGTATCTCAAGACGTCCTAGATAAGAAGTTATAATGGTCAAAGATTGTACCGGCAGTATGCCACGCCCATAGCGGACGAGCTCCAACGCCGTTGTAGAAGGCCACTTACAAGGGATATTTAGCTGGAACTCCAATCAACTAGCCGTGAGACCTGGCGACAAGAAATTCAGTTTTGGTGATCTTTGGCTTGATATAGCTTTTAGTCAGCTTTTAACTCAATTGCAACAAATGAAATCTCGTCCGAATACCCCTCTCATGCCATTTCTGTCAGGTAATCTCATATGTCTGTACTTATACATTTAAACTATTCTGAGAAGTCTTTTTCCCGCGGAGTCGGTAGATTCATTCATCGACACTTTTTTCAAATGAAAAAGATTACTTCAAAAGTACCATGAACTCGCCTTTAAGAAAAAATTGAGTGCTCTGATATGTATACAACCTCGAAGATGAAATTCTTCAGTGACTCAACCAAGAAAAAGTACTCATTCACGCGCTGTTTTGAATCAAACGTCAAGAGTACGAAAGCCAAATGGCTCTGCTAAGTACGCGACTCAAGCAGTTCCTGTTCCACCCTTAGTGTTCGTTATGTTTCCCGGATCATTTAGATACGATATGTAACTCTAATCAAGTAGTTAAGACTATTTACAATAAGTTGTGAGTGCATTATGATTCAAAAGTAATTGTCAGTGTGAGACAGGTTTTTTGAGGAGCTCATTATACGATGGGCAAAGGTGATGTAGTAGCAGGTGGCAAACACTATCATCCACATAGCCTGAATATCTTGTCTCCACTCAGCTCGACCGAGCAACCGATCCTTCCGCGGCCGATTAATCAGTATCAGACTCATCTGGGAGGCCAAAAACGCTGTACGTTGACCGGCCACCGCATGTCAATGTATAGGCCACATACTCTTTCAAAACGTCACTGCGATTCTGAGTAAAAGTCGAATGCGGTACGCATCCCACTTACGGATTTGACTTACGCCAACAGCTTTATCTTATCGCATTTAATTATTTGACTTACAGTTTTCAACTTGCAGGCTCCTGCCGGAGATGGACCGCAAACAGAAGATCGTTATATGGTTTATTCAAATATAACTCAAATGGTGGATCATTTCGGGAATAATACTTCTACGTGGAAGCAGGTCAGAAATCTTCTCCCAATACATCTTCAAGACAAAAAACCAAATTTAATTCGGAGACGACCACAGTAATCACCGTAAAAGTGTCAATGGGAACAACAAGAGAATGTGACTAATTTCTAGGTTATATACCTATCTATGTGTTAACTTTTGAAAAAAATGAGAAGCGTGAAGTTCCAACGGGGATCAAATCATAGCAGAACTTGCGAACTTGCCAGCACACAGCTCATCGTCTAACCGGTAGTGGATGTGGTTGGTGTTTCTTGTTTCGGATTACACAAGTAGTAGAAGGTGAATGGATCGATCTCTTGCCGGATTTTTGAAAATGCCAGAATGGAGTAAGATTTATTCACAGAATTTTTTTTATGAATAAGTATATACTGTCCAGGTGAAACATACAGTAACCGGGATAACAGTAGGGGAAATGCTGACTTCATTATAAGTCAGCATTTCCCCTACTGCGTGGCCCACAATATACACAAACCTCAAACCCTGATGGATTGACCACCTTTCTTAGTTACTCGATTAACTACAATTCTTTTCGAACCAAACGACACGGCTGTAACAAATACTGTTCGGCCTTGAGATGGCCGTCTCGGTTCCTCAAATGGTGGCCACGGTGCATATTTTTCCGCCTTCGTTTGTTGCACTCCCGTTTGGTGTAGCCCTTAAGCGTTGTGCTTGTCTCTCCAGTAGGACCCCCACCACCACCCCTGTAGGCTTCACCCGGGGTATTTTTCTCTGCGCTCTAGCCTCCTGCTGTCAGGGAGCAGAGGAAGTTCAAGCAGTCACGTAACAATAAAATGGCATGCCCCTCTTAACTTTTGAGCATGCCAATTGATGAAAATTCAGGAATGAGGCTTCCTGAGCTTTTAAAAGTACCATCTTTTAAAACTCGATGAGCTGATGGTGAGTACAACGGTATATCCTTGGTTTCAAAAAACTTTACCTCCATTCAGTTACGACAAACAGAAAGCGCCAACTCGTTTTTTTGCTCAAATACGAGAATCTTTGAAGTGGTAACTGTACCCGATCTACCTTTTTAGTTTTCTTCATATCTACTTGGAGAGGGTTCTTTTCGTAAACAGGTGCGAATCGTCTTGGACGTATTTGTTAGTGTTCACGAAGCATCAAAATAGCAACAACAAAGTCATAAATAAAGTATATGTAATTTTTCATATGGTCCATGATCAATTCCCTAATTAAGCGCTACCAGTACAACTCAAAGTTCTACAATGCATCCAATGGCATAGTGTTTCTGATGATTGGAGGAGAAGGTGGGCTGCTTTTACGAGTTCAGCTTACATACATTCCCACTGAGGGGACCATCCGACTGACATTTCAGGCGCGATTTCGCCACCAGGCGATAAGTGGGTGAGAGATGAGAGTATCACCATGATGCAATGGGCTCAGAAGTATGGCGCGGCTGCATTCCAACTTGAGCATCGCTTCTACGGACCCCAGGAGAACACACCGTTTGGGTAGGTCTTCGGTACACTCCATAGACAGAAAACATGCGAATACCTGTGTTAAAGATATTGTGGCCCCAAGCTCGTTTACAATTTTGCAAGTCTTGCAGCGAATTTCAGCAAACAGGACACAGAGTCGCTGAAATTTCTCACCATCGACCAGGCCCTCGCAGATATCAACAATTTCATCCAGCAGATGAACGATCTGTATTTCAAAGGAACGAGCACAAAATGGGTGACATTCGGTGGTTCCTATCCAGGTACGTTTTCTGTATTATGGTATTTTTACAACAATTTTATACTAATGAAAGCGATTTCGATTAGTTTGCAGCCTGTTCAGGCCTGCATGTTCCAAGGGTCGACTGGGTAAGGAGGGGCAAAAACCTTTCGATCCATATTTCGATGTTAAGGTTATACATATTGCGCCATGCAAAATATTTTTGAAAAAGCATTTAACAAGTCGAGCATTAGCAGGGTCTCGGTAGTGTAAGGGATGAGCCCGGTGCCCGGAGAACACAGTCATGGGCTCGAGCGTCCGAGGCTGAAGTTTTGCCGAAAGCCTAGAAATCGTCATCGTTGTGAGATTATCTTTACTGTTCGGCAAACTCCCTCCTGTCTGCAAATCTCTTTTTCTTCTTGACTAAGTCGATACCTTGTGAGACTTTCGGGTCACGCCAGTAGTAGCAGTCAACGAGAGTTCAAGGGGAAAGGGCAGTCACCTGGGAAAATACCAGTTCCTGCCCCTTCGTCCCTGAAGGCTTGAACACGATCAACAGCTACGTGAAAATTTCAAATTAAAGGTAGAATCTTGCAAGAAAACTAGGTAATATGAAAGCCGAATTCTGGCGTTGCGCTATCAACAATCGAAAGGTGGTTGATTTCTGTCGAAGAGTGAGGATGATGGATCCAGGAATCAGCAACTCAGTTTGCCCTTGTACCTATTCGTATTCCGATGAAAATTTGATGTCTGCGTTCCTCGCAGATTGAGTTGACGCCATCGCGCTTGATCATCCATGGGAATTGTCGACGACCTATTCGGTGCGGGATCCCTCAATGTTAGAGTTCAAAGCCCCTACTCTTTCAAACAGCCACTTCCCTCCACTCTTCCACCAACAACCAATTTCTGTCAAAAGGGATGTGATGAAGGGTTTGATCGGCACGTACGTAATATAGTCCTGTGGATGGAAACGTTAGCAATTCGAAGATTACAATTGCTCAGCTCCACATAAATACTTTTTGACTCATAGGAGCTCCTCCCCAGTTCTGCCTAAGTGTGCTATCCCGTGATTGTTTTATATATAGAAAGAAAACTTCACAATTAAGTCATAGATACAATGAATGAAAAATGGTGTTACGCTCAGAAATCGCCATTTCCATTTTTGCGACGCCAAAGCTAGATCTGTTGGAACAACCATCAACTGCAACTCCCATTACCATCTGTTTAAGGATGCTTGTCCGCCTATTTCCGAGAAACCTACCCGAGCGTCACCATTGGAGCGGTGTCAACGTCTTCGCCAGTGAACGTCTTCGTCGACTACTACGGCAAGTTCTGTGCAGCTCTCGACCCAGCCAGCAATTGAGCTGTTCGCTTTCAGGGTATCTACAGAACACTGAAGCCAATTACAGGGCTCAAGACAAAAACTGTGCAGCCAACATGGCCACAGCGTTCACGAATATGCAAAATTTGTTCTTCAGTGGAACTGCAGGGAGAGGGAAACTGAAGAGCAAATTCAAGTGCTTCACCATATCCTTCGCCTCCATTGTCGCCTTCTGGACCTAACTAATCCTATCATATTCAGTCTGTGCGACGATTTCGATGAGCAAAACCTTTCAAAGGCGAAGCAGTTCTTCTTCTCGAATGTCATCAGTTATTTCCAAGGGATAAACCAATATTCCGGTGACAACAGGGTGAGTGCAGTCGTGACCTGACGGATCCCAAAAATTCCAATTCTTCTTTTTAGAATGCTGCCACCCGAAATGGATTGGGAATACCCAAGGCTTGCGAGATCATGACGAACACTTCATTGGGGGATGAAATGGACAGGGTCAAACTCGTCGTGAGTGAAGCTGTTTTTTTTGGACAAGAAAAATGTGCTTTCAAACGATGCTGGTAAAAGCAGGCTGAGGGATTGCCCAGAGTTTTCCCCTACGTAACATACATTGCGGTAGTTTTCCTTGCTGTTGTTTCCTATGCCACACATTTGACTATTCGAACCTGTCTACAACGTTTTAGTCCCACAAATTCCCTGTGCGAGTTAATGTTCAATGGGAAGCTGGTTTACAGAAGTTTGTGCCTTCAATATATTTTCATGTCAGTTGGATTGGTACACCACTGTGACTGGTGGACAGGTGGGCTGCTATCCGAACAGCTACAGCGACTACCTCAAGACATACCAAAACACCTCGTACACCGACATTGACGACGTTGGTGAGTTAGCTTTTCAGCTTTAACCGGTAATTAATTCACTGCAACCTTTGAAAATATATTATCTAGAATTCTGAAGGTAACAGTTGAACAAAGCTGAGCGGGGTTCCTGAAATGGAAGGAAGGTGTGGACTTCACATCAGCGACTATGTCTGTAACTCCAAATCAATTATAAAGCTTAACCCTACAGTACTCTTTCAAGACGTACTATTAAAGACCGTTTCACCGTCAATGCTGAAGGCATTCTCAGAAGTACTCCTTGCATGCAAGCAGTGCGGAACCGAAAGTGTGTTTTGAATGCATGCATGTAATAGCTGAGATTAGTTAGTGTTTGAACCACAACTCTTTCTCTTCCATATAACTCTTCCAAAGGAGAAGGAACCAAAGGTTGGAGCGCTAAGAGCGAGATTCGGCTGTGAAGCTCCGGCAGAAATATCTTCCCGGCTGCATTTCTGCCCTAAACTTCACGTGAACATTCAAACCTGCACAAGCCTAATAAATTTAAAAACATTTTACTTGGCTTGAACGAAGCGAGAGACGATGAAGCCTTTGAAAAAATAATAATAGGTTGTCGTTTCAGTCGCAACGCGCAGTTGGATATGGCAAACGTGCACTGAACTGGGCTATTTTCAAACGACCGACTATGGAACCAACTCAATATTTGGGAGTACAATACCAGTGGAGTAAGTTGACTCAAACCCTTCCAAGGAGTCATGTCAGTCCTCGAATCTTTGTTTCAGCTTTTACTCCGATCAATGCGTCGATCTGTTCGGCCCGGACTACACTATCACTGAAACCTATAGGCGTGTAGACATCGTCAGCAAGAAGTACGGAGGAGCGACTGACTACAGGGTAAGGCTTCTCTCTACATGTAGGGAATACTGCAAATACGGGAGTTTGGTAGAATGGTTGTCGTTGCTCATTGCTTCCTAGTTCCGTAGAAGGAAACGATGAATCATGACCATGCGCTTATTGCCACTGACGGGTCCTATGACTGGAGAGACGCTGTGATATAAAAATGACTACTGTTCCGGATATTCCGGACAAAAGCCATTTAGCTAGCAGGATTCCCAAACAGACTATTTCCAAGTTTCTTGGCTATCAAAGGAAGAAATCCTGAATCGACGTTTCAACCGATATTTCTGGTGTGGTAACAGTGACAAGATGATTCACGATTCTATTGATCAAATGTTCTGACAGACAAGAAAGAAAAAGCGCTCTCTGCAAGCCAGTTTATAACAACTCCGATTCTCGGCGCTGGTCAGTCTCCATTCAGAATGAGCCATACATTCGAATTCCATCTAGAACGTAGTGGCGCTCTCATATTCATGGGGTGTATAAATTATTTGCAGAGGCACAAGCACTATAGAGGCTTGGCCTTCCCAGGCAAATGTGACACCAGTTAATGGATTCCATGAAAACGGAGGTTTTGTTTTGGATAAATTTTGGTTCCGGAACGTACGTGCGGTAGGAAGACCATTTATTTAACGCAACTCACCCTCGCCCTTTATAAAGCACTATGGGATAGGGAATTGACTTGCTTTTCGTATGCATTCCCTTATGTCAAAAGTTTTGCCTGATTGTCGCATAGGGTGAATGTGCCATACTCGTAAGTTCTACTTGTAAGTTATTCTATTCTAGTCGTATTACATTGAGTGAGCTAGGGGTTCATCGTCATTAAGGGTAACAATGTCGTGTTCCCGAATGGCTCGATTGATCCATGGAAATCACTAGGACTTCTTGTTGGGAATTCTGACAACGATATAGACGCATTCGTGATTGATGGTGAGTGTGCAAGAATAGCATTTATCTAGACAAATCAATTTTCATAATCCGGGCAATTTTCTGTATTCCACAGGTACGGCTCACTGTGCTGAGATGTATCCCGCCTCGCCTAATGACAAGCCAACACTGACAGCAGCTAGGACTCGAATTCTGAAGAGCCTGGACCGATGGATCCAGGATGCTTTAACCCCAACAGGTATGTGTTATGCTTCAGTATGCGACTTAGACGTTTCAAATAACAACGTAGACCTTTGTGGTTGACCCACATTCCCCAACCAGTCTACAAGACCATGTACATGGGGAGGGCGGAACTTCTCCCCGAATTCCCATGGCCAGCGGCAGTGGTTCCGCGGCGGCTGGATGCTTTCATAGTCCTTCCACTGGAAATTCAAACCTTTCCCTTCATAGCGCGCGAACAAGTGCGGCGAGTGCGACACGCCTTTCAGGGAGGAGATTCCAACCCTGCACATAGTAAAAGGAATGTTGTGGGACGTTTGCGGGAGAGTGTAATTCGGAGTCCCATCCACTGAGAATCTTTCCCTCCATAGTGCGCGATCGGGTGCGGCGACACGCCGTTTGGGGAGAGGATTCCAGTTCCATAGTAGTGGAAGTGTTGTGGGGCGGTTGCGGGAGAGTGTAATTCGAAGTCTAGTCAGTGTCCATGGGCAGCGCTCTCATTTGCAGTGCTAGAGACAATAGCGAATTTCCCTCCAAAGTAACTGTTGTACTCACAAGCTGAATACGCAAAAGTGCTTCGGAACCGGACCTGCCCAGGAAGATGGGAATCAGGTAATCTGAACCTTGCTCTCGATGAAAATGCTGCTCATTACCTTACTAAGTAGTTTTGATCCAGAAATTACCATGAGTTTGATACTTCGAGCCGAGTGCTCGGGAAATTTGAGATCCAAAAGTAACTGAAGACATGAAATGTAGGACGCCATTCCAGGAAGCGTCTCTCAACCAAGACTTCTCGCTACTTCGATTGTCATTCTTCTTTATTTTACTTTCATGTAATATAGCATGTCTACAAACGCCTCGCCTAGAACAATTCAATTATGAGAACTTTGTAATATTGCAAAAATTTAATAAACATGACCAAATGTGTGAAGGCGTACTTCTAGGGAATGCGGCATGGAATAACAAATTCTTTAATGGTATCACAGCTGCAATATTCTTTAAAAATTGTACAAAACTTGACAAAGATGAAGTCATACACTGCGTTCTATAAATATAGGGCCACCCTAAATTTTTGCCGTTCCAAGCTTGCGGCGCGCTTTTGAAAAATGCTGCCATACCTATAGATTCCCTCATAACGGGAAACCTTAATACAGATTTTGTGAAGAAATTTCACTTTAGAATTGTGCCATGAGTATGACTACACATTCTTTAACGAAAAAATTCATTACAACAGAGTGGATGTAACAACATCTTAATATTGGGTCGGTTGCTCCTCCATTATTCGCAAGGACTTCACCAATGTGTCTTGGCATGCTCTCAACCAAGCTAGCTATCAAAATGGGATCCAAATTTGTTCAAGTGTCGAGGATGGACGGTTTGAGCTCTTCAACTGTGCTGTACCGCTTTGCTTCATCGTAGATCTTGACAATGAAGGCCCAGACATTCTCCATTGGACTCAAGTCTGGAGAACATGCAAGCCATCGTGAACTGTAATATTTCCACTTCCAATCCAATCCGAAGCGGAACGACTGACATGGACAGCCGCGTTATCGTGCATAAAAATCAATGTACGACGACGGTGTTGTCGAAGAAGTAGTGAAAGTCGCTCCTCCAGCACTCTCTGGTATTCTACGGAATCCACACCACAGCAAACAAAAGCAAGTCAAAGCTATCCAGCCGCCAAAAGGCGCTCCGAACCATGAGAGGCCCAGAATTACGTCGGTCCAAATCCTGAGGTGCTTTGCGCAGACCCTTCCAATACCCTCTTCTACTGTCAGGTCCGTCTAGACTAAACTTTTTTCGTCGCTCCAATTTACTTAAAACGTAAATCAAGGATATGGAGTCAAAGACTGCAAAGTGTCGTAATAGCCGCACCTTCTTCCAATCAAAGGAGGCATTTTTACGGCCAATTGGAGGCGTGCGACTTTGGGTCGCTCCGATAGTCTTGGGACCCACCTCATCAACTCTCTGGTGTTGCTTTCGCTCCGCTGGGTAACCCTCCAGACCTGGAGTTGCTCACACAAAGCCGCATTTCAGCGCGGACCCTGTTCAAGCTCTTCGTTGAATTGAACAAAACACGTCCGATTGCTCTTTCTTCTCGGGCAGAAAGCGGCCACGGTCGACTTGGACTATTCTTCTTCTCTCTTCTGATCAGGATTCCGCAGGTTACGCAGTTGCGTGACCGGCCGATATGGGCGGCAATACTCCTTCTCGACCATCCGGCTTCAAACAGTGCTCTGACTTGAACTTGTTCTTGTTTAGAGAGACGAATAGCACGAGGCATATTACACGAAACCGAGCAGACTCAGAAAATTCATTCCAGGTAAGTTACTTAGGTTATTGGAGTAGAAAATTTCTTAGAAAACCGTTACCAAGATTTTTCGACATGGGCTATCTAGTGATGTTAGCAACATTTCCTCAACATGCGCAGCAAATTTGGAATCACGAAAATTTAGGGTGGCCCTATTTTTATGAAACGCAGTGTACATGCGCGAATAAGAGAAACCCTGCAAACAAAAGCAATCGAACCGGGACCAAATTGAATACATCTGTACAAATACCTTTGAACAAAGGATAAGGACTAGAAAACGAAGCCATCAAGAACCCTCTACCACTGTGTTACCCAGTGATATTGAAGCAACAACTTTTTAAAAGAAAAAAGCAAAACACTTAGCAAGGGAAGTTTCGTAATGAGAAAATTGGAATTCCATTTAATAGTTGTACGCGCCTTTACGTAAAAGATCATTCCCTGACATAACAGGCAGTATGATGTCGACCATGTTGGGGCATACGAGATTCTTTTCGATAAGTAACCGAAGTTTCGACTCGATCCAATCTGATATAGTCGACATGTCGAAAGATCGATCACCAACTTGAGGAACGGCACGAATCGAAGCAATGGGTGGTCGCCAGAACGCATACCTGAAATGTGGGCGCATTGAATCCAAAACAAGCAAACAACTCTGATCAGGTACAGGAAGTTAATCGAAGGGAATTGAATTGAAGGGAGTCAATTGAATTGAACGAAGCTTACCACCGATCAGACGGAGGTGGTGGAATATCAGTGGTGATTGGATTGGACTACATTGTCGTCAATGGATTGGAATAATGAAAGTGGAGAAGTAGAGGTGGTGCGAGAAAGTCGCATGAAGAGGGTATTCGGACGAGATTGCATTTGTTGCAATTGCGTAAAGAACCGATTACATCAAGACGAAGATGTCCAAAACTGCTCTCACCGTGGGTCACGACTAGTTATGATTATGATAATGATTTATTATCGGAAATCAAAGAAATAACAGAGCAGCAAAAAGAAACACGAACAAGTCGCCGATAAGCAGTAATTTTAACCCATTGACGACCATGCAGTCCACATGCGGACTGCAGTTGTATTTTTTGTTTTATTCATCTAAATTTCCACTTTCTTTCAATTCTTCATCTCGAAACATTACATCAGGCCCAAATGAAACTACATACAGCGTGGTCCTAGAAAATCTTCTAATTTTGCAACTGTAAAGGTGCTTTTTTCGAAGGAATACATTACTTTGGTGAATTCTTCGTTCGATGAACAGCCTCAGAAAATGAGATATTTCGAGAAGACGGTCGTCATTGGCATTTCTGAATGCAAAGCTAGTAAAAATTCCCCGAAACGATTTCTGGGAATGCATAAACTAATGGGGGCCAACAGAGGAATCTGCGTGAAGAGGGATTGGAATTTTGCTCCCAACACTGCAAACTCGTACAGGACTACTTATGTAGAACTCCGGATACCGCCTTAGTAGAGCCGCCTACCTGCCGAAACCCAAACCAGCGTAGCGGAAGTCAAGGGGATAGTGTTATGCACAACACGGAAAATCAATTAGTCATAAAAAAAGAAAAAGTAGACATAAAATAACAGTTTTTTGAGTCATACAAAGTTATTAACATAACAGCAAAGTTGATCGTTCTCTGCCTGACAAATTATTGAGAGTTTAGTTTCCTGCTCCTAAAGCTGACCTCGAGACACCAAAATATCCTTTACTTTTCTCACAAATGAGCTAGGGGAGCTAGAGTAAATCACGGAAGACGGCAACTCATTCCATAAACTAACTATTCTCTAAGTGAAAGAATTCCGATATTACGCGGTAAAAGATTTTCTTAATAGTTTATAGCTACGGCCTCTGGTGCGCCCGATAGTTGCTGATTTCCGGAAGAAAGAATCCTAATCCACCACCCCAGTGGAAAGCTTGTAAACAAAATCGCAATCATACAACTTTCATAGTTGATTGAAATACTAACAAGGGTATGCCTCGTAAATGATGCAGCTTCCACACCGCCGTCTGAACTCGTCGTAGAACATTGCAATACGTAAGTTCGAACAACGACAGGAAGTTCTTAAAAATCCGACTCTTAAAAGCCCAATCACATAATCATGGATTACATCCTGAGGTATTCGGTCAACTCAAAAATGTTCCCAGTCTTGACTTCAATTCAAAGTATATTGATCACCTTGCATCCTCAGGGGTGGCAATGTTTTTGGGGCTTCAACTCTTTACTGCACTGTAGCGATGACCCTATAGTCGGCAGAAATTTGCTGGAAAGGATGGGGAGTACAGTGCCAGAGCGTGCAGGGAGGCCGAGTGCATGCCTACGTTATGGCCGTTCGCCACTTGCCTACACTTGGCTTCCACTTAGCCTCGTTCCTGTGGACCTGCAGTCGATGGAATTAGACAGAGAGGTACGCATATGGAAGCTTTAGACGGTGTGAATCAGAGCTTCTGTGACAAAATACAGCTTTACGACTCCGATTCGCTACTCGACTCCATAGTTCCATGAATCGATACCCAAAACTCTAGGACACACCATGTACTCATCATCCGCTAGAGAAAGTCTTTAGGTGCTGCCAGTGGTTTGTGCAAAATGTTCCAATGTTATTGATGATGTTAGGATGACTAATGGGTGAGTTAAGAGTCGTTCTAGTGATTGAACGTACATCCTTTTGGGCCAATACATTACTGCATGATTCGAATCAGGCGAAACGCGCAGGGAATATCAAAAAGATGCCATGGTTGCGTAAGGCGATGGATTAGTAGAGCTCTTACCAAACACAAGGTGAGGATCGAACCTTTTGCCGCATTCTTCTTAATTTTGAGAGTCCCTCCATTACCGCTTTGACGTTGAGCTAATAAAACGACCTTTGAAGTTCACGAAGACAAAAATGAAGAGGTGCGCTAAAGAGCTATGGAAGAAGGTGAGAAGAAAAACTGAGTTGAACTGGAAACAACATAAGCAAGTTATTTGCAAACCTTGTAGATATAGTGAAAAGTCAACAGTAATTCAAGAGATTTTCAGACAGTGGGGAACAACACTCACAGTAGCTCAAAGGCCAGGGATTCATCACTCATCTTTACTGGAGATGATCATAATTGCTAACAAAGAAAAGAGATCTTAGCTTTCTGCAAAAAAAGAGGCATGAGTTATATGGTATATATATATATATATATATATATATATATATATATATATATAACATATATAAACTTTCACCTATTACAGAGGTTTTTCTCGAGGTGGTGGGGGAATTCGCCAAGAACTGAATGATTCAAAAAATTGAAGCTGGAAGTCGCTCAAGCAAAACGAATCTGGCATCTCACAAGGAAATGATCGTAGACTAAGCATGATTTACAGAATTAGGGATTTTTTTTTCAGAGAAAGATCCGATTTACCCTCAAAGAAGCGTATGGAAAGGAAGACATCAAAACAAACTCGTCTGTAGTCACCTGTAGGAATCCTCCTCGTGGTCTCCCGAATATTACGGGAGGTGAGAGAGCAATAGCGAAGGGAAGTATAAATACAAAGGCGAGGTGGGTCAGCGTCGTCATAAGCGTTATATGCGTACTATAGGGACACAACGGAGCTGCGATGTGGAGCACTGACTGCGAGCAAAACAGATAAGAGGGCAATCGTACAGCTGATAGCCTCTGCGATTCTGCGATAGGGGAACGCTGCCGTTATCTATAAATACAAGATATTTGAAAATTCTCGGTTCAAGGAATGCTCTAACAGTTGGCATTATAAGGGCTCGTTTATTGTATTTTGTTGGCGCACATCTTTTTCTTCGCGCAATTCGCAGCTTCCACAGCCTCAGTCAATTTCTACGGAACCTTTGTCCGTGTCGTCAGCTTCGACTCTCGATCAACCTCGGCATAGTTTCAATACAAGTCTCTTTTTTCAAAGTACACGAGGTTAACTACAACCTCGTTGCGACGATTTCTGCCTTTCTCGTGACCTTAAAAAGGTGGAATTCAGTCCATGATATATGCGAATAAATGTCTCACTCCTCACGGGGTCTTCGACATAATTATTAAGTTCAAATTTTCTCTCCTCTCAAATCAGATCAATCAACGTATTATGCTCTTTGAGTGACATAAACTGCTCTTTTCGTCCAATCACTTTTCTTGAAATTGCCCAAGGTTCTGAAAATCTCTGAGACGTTTTTCTAGAATGGGGATACTGCTTTGCGAACGGTTTTACTTAAAGATTTCAAGCTCGGTCGAACTGCGAAGGCGACAGCCACAAACATCAACTTTGCATGAGGAGAAATGCAATGCATCGGGACGAGCGGTTCGTCACTGGTTTCAGCAGATTAGAAATGAAGAGGAGAAACTGGAAGCCAAAGAGCGAGTCGGTCGAC